ATACCAGTCGCTGGTGTGCCATCGTAGGACTCGTTACTGGCCATACCGATCAACTCTTCGCCTGTTCTTGTGTCATACACTAGTATCGATGCATCTGTGAAAGAAACAACGAAATTCTCGCCAGTAGGGGAGATCGGGCTGATGCATGTAGGCGAGGGGTGCGTGTCGCGCTCAATAGTGTGGATGAGCATGTAATGGAATGGTGTACTGGTAGCAATGCTCGGCTGTGGCGATGATGGGTGGTTCGATCCGGAAGTAACTGAGTGCCTTCGACTACCACCAACACCACGGCGTGACCCAGTCTGAGGCGATACCAACTGGGGCGGCGCACTAACTGCCCAAATCTTGATGGTTCCATCTGCAGAGCCAGAAGCCAGTATCACTCGGTCTGCGCCGCCATACTTGCTGCTGTCGGCTCCGAAGACATTTCCGCAAGTGGTGGGGAGAACACACACTGTCCAAACAGCATCGGTGTGACCTTCCAGGGTGGCTTTTGGATCGACGCGGCCTCGCTCCCACACGCGAACTGTCGCATCTTGGCCGCCCGAGAATATCCAGCCGTCGCCCGATACCCTGCCACCAGTTGCGAAATGGGCAGAGGCGGGGCAAGCAGCCAGCGATGTTACAGCGCCTTCATGACCTCTGTGCGACCAGAAGGGTTGAATGTCCAAATCATTGTTCATAGTGTGCTGACTCGCATAACTTGCAGGTATCATCCATCTCTTAATCATACCATCATCTCCCGCTGTGCAAATTTCTGGTTCGCTGGGACTGCCGCCTCCCGTGAAGATGACGGACCGCACAACATCCAGATGGCCACGAAGGGCGAATCGGACCTTGAAACTTTGCGGATCCGCCTTTGAGGCCGCTTGGGCAGCGACTTGCTGGGCCTTGTGGTCACTGCTCAGTCGTCTAGTGTGATCTTTACTTGTTCTCTTGGCTGGCCGGGGCGGAGATTTTGCAGGAATGCTGTTTGCGGACGGAAACTCCTCGACATCTGGTCTCCTTGGTGGCCCTTCCTGGGCTACGTCGGACGCAGGGTCAAAAATCCACTCGTCTGACTCCTTTTCCTGGGCTGGCACCTGATTTCCTCCTGCAGTATCTTCCTCTTGGCCTGCTATTTGCCGGCCTGCGTTGTCAAAAGCGTGCGTCACCTTCTCAACCTGCTCATCAGGCACGGAAGAATAGTGTTGCTGGTTTGGGGGTTGACGTTGCTGTCCAGAAAGGTCCTGGGTCAAACTTGGGTTCTGAGCGAGTGGCTGTTGCTGGGAAGGCTCTCGAGCCATCTGCGGGGCATGGTGGATCTGGTGCTGGGGGGGCAAGTTCTGTAGTTCAGAAGTGACGGGAATGTTAGGGGGCTGGTAGTTGGGCAGGGGTCCCGGCATGGTGGGAAGGTGCGACTGCAGCCTCTGGCGATGTTGTTGTTGCAGGTAGATGTCTTCCATAGAGGCATCTCCATGGCCCATGAATCCAGTGCCGTTTGCGAGGGCTTGCATGCCCTGCTGCTGGGGCTGGGGTTGGGGCGGGGGAGTAAGGAGATATGTAATCTCTTCAACGCATTTTGTGAGGTAGAGCTTCGACTTTTCCCGCAGACCATCACGATCAGCCTCGGAGCGGTCGAGGAACTCGGAGTCGACGTCGAGGAAGGAGTTGTGCTTGGTGTTCTGGGCTGTATTGACATGTCAGTATACCAGGGGCCCGCCATGACATGTTTATTGTGTACGCACGTTTGGTCAGGCCGGCGCCAGTCTTTTTGTCCTTGGGGTCGTTCTTGTCGTCAGCAGCGTCGCCGCCTGCAGCGTTGGCCTTATTTTTCCTCTCGTTGGTGAGGGCCTGCTCGAGCATGCGGATGTGCTTGTTGAGTTGGTCGTTGAGCTTCTTCGCACTGCGGACCTCGCCCTCCTGCTTTGCAATCTTGGCCTTCATTTCTGCGCGCTCAATGTCCCAAGCATTGCGGGCACGCTCGTGGTTGTGCCATTCGAGCTGGAGAAATCGCATAACACCTGGCCGTTGGGTTAGCCCACTACTGTCCCGCCGGCGAAGCGCTACCAGTCGAGGATAAAAGAAGACAGCATACCCTGCAGAGTGTATTCGGTACCGGCGGGCGCATTCCCGTCAGCGCCTCCATTGGCACCGCTGCCGTTCATGGCCGAGGGCGATTGCCAGGCCATGAGATGGGTACGGAAATCCTGTGGCGGCGCACTGAGCAGTCTGTGAGGGTCAGAGCTGGTGTTGGCATGCGGCGTCGGGGGTCGGCAACTGCGCGGTCGACGTGTCGCTAACAGAGAATCTCTCCCACTTCAGGGCGCAAGTGGGGGGTAGGGAGGCGGAGGGGGGAGGAGGCTGGAGCTGGAGGAGGAGAGAGCAGTGAATATGGGGTGAATGCGCTCAAGCAGCTGGCTTCGAGAGCTGCAGCAACATGCACATGGCGATTCCGTTGCACAGGGGAGGGTGCCATGCAGTGGTAAGGTAGCGCCGGGGCGGGACCCTGGCGCACGGGCCCCATCACCAACGCTGCGAACAGATGGAGCGTCTTCACAGTGCTGCCAACATGCACAATGCTCCCATTGCACATGCCCAGTTTGAGCATGTTGTCTATCCACTTAGCAGCGTCACACTAGCTACTCCAAGTCTTCTTGTCACCATTTTACTCGACCTACCTCCGTCAACGCTCTGTATATCAGCCATGAGCTGCCTACGCAAATCCACGCCTGTCCCAAACCGGCACCTAAATGTACTGGCTAACATGTCCATGGCACAATTCCAGCCAGCTTGATTCACTTGTGAGTCTCTTTTCTCATTCTTCCTATCCTTCTCCCTATCTCCTTTCTTAATTATGTCATCTCCTGTCCAAGCTTCACCAATTTTCCTTTCTCATCTGTGCATTTTGTACACATGTTACGTCACTCGACACAACATACACTGTCACTCCTCAATTACCGGCCCTCCAAGCCTGATCACATAACTGACATATCACCCAGTCATGCGTTGATACAAGATGACCTGAACCTTCCAGTAAGCTTGCGCGGCGCTCAGCCCAGAACAGGAAGACACTTTGGGCTCAAGCCTTGAGTGCGAGCAGTATCCAGCACTTGCATATCCAACACTTGCATATCCAACACTTGCATATTGCATACTGCTCGCTAGGCCATTGGATTCTGCCCTGTTTCTCTATTTATTGGCTGGTCATCGCTTGGTTCTGTTTTGATGCTCTCTGTTCGCAGCTAGCATTGTGCTGGGAATTGCACGACGAGCCGGCCCAGCGCATGCACACCAGCCACCAGCCACCCACCCCCAACCACGGCTAACAGGCATCATGTCACACGCAAATCACCGAAAGAGCCAGGGCAGTACCCATCTTACTGTGGCACAGGCGACTATTTCACGCGCAGTCCTGTGATCAGATACCAGGGCTTGACTTTCGCTCATGCCAAGTGGAGCCTTCCCGATTGGTACAAAGGCGGTCGACGCTACGACCTTGTCACAACATTGGAACCTTCCCAGGCAAGACTTTACCACATTCACCCCACCCCCCGCCAACCACCACGACATCAAATCCACCTCCAGACTCCGCCAACCGGGTCGCGCACATTCGCACATACTATTGATCCCAACATAGCCCTAAGATATATCTCCAGACATGGCTGGCGGTGGTAAAGGTACGCGCTGACTTGCCGCGCGCCCTGCAACATCGCAATGGGCTGACAAAGATGCATAGGAAAGACAGGAGGCAAGACTGGTGGAAAGGGCGATTCGCAAGTCAAGACCCCAAAATCGCACTCCGCCAAAGCCGGCCTTCAAGTGAGTTGATGCCCTACACGCGTCATCGCCCGACGACACCCCGCCCATACTTTGACAGCTTGCGCACAGGGACGACGCGCTAACATGACTCCTCCTCTACAGTTCCCTTGCGGTCGCATAAAGCGTCACCTCCGGAATCTCACGCGCCAGAAGACGCGCATCGGTGCCAAAGCCAGCATCTATCTGACTGCCGTTCTTGAATACCTGACTGCTGAGGTTCTCGAGCTTGCAGGCAACGCCGCCAAGGATCTCAAGGTCAAGCGCATCACGCCACGCCATCTCCAGCTCGCCATCCGAGGTGATGAAGAACTCGATACGCTTATCCGTGCCACCATTGCCTTTGGAGGTGTTCTGCCGCATATCAACCGTGCCCTATTGCTCAAGGTAGAGCAGAAGAAGAAGAGCGGAGGTGCTGCCAAGGTCGGCGAGGCGTAGAGGGCTAATTCCTCCGGAAGCGTGCAGGCAAAAGATGTCAAATGGGCGGCTAAGCGAATCGATTTTCGAGCTTGCAGAGCATGCGACAGACCCTCGAAGCACAAGAGCCCCAAACCACCTCCAGTTTTGCTTAGCTTCTATGAGCTATTTTACCCCGAAAGCCGCACTTCTTTTGCTGAGATTTCGAAATGTCAGGATAAGGGTGTCAACTGTCTTTGGTTAGGCTTGCGCAGGAACGGTGTTGATGGTCATGTCCTTTTTTTCTTTATCATTTCGTGGTATGTAGTAACACGTTCGAGTCAATGTCACAGAATAGCAGGGAGAGTCGGTTTGGTTTGCCTCTACAATCATGAAAGCTCCGTCTTCCCAACGGAAAGCGATCAAACCGCAGAGACTTCAATCACACAAGCGTGCAAGCGAATGCCATGCTGCCCAAGCAAACAAACGATAACACGCTATCAAAGCTTGCAGGTCCGGGTCGTGGCAGCAATCACGAGTCCAGTCGAATTCCGAGATTGGGTCGCACGAATATGTATCATTCCGATATTTCGTTTCCCAAGTCAAGCGGCACTGCATGATTCCGGGCCGGAAGAAAAGGATATTAAGCGCAGTAGTCCACGTCAAATTCGTGAACATCCCATTTTCTTTCCTCTGCATCTCTTCTGTTCTTTCTGTATGAAGGATTGAATTAGCTTTTCCAAACGAGCGTTCTTACCTCCCTTGCCCGACTTGATAGACTCTGCATAGCAACTAAAAAAGACACAATGTTCGATCACTTATTCGACCCTGATGCTTTCCACCGTCACCCCATCCCACCAGCCTTCTCACGCACAAACTACATTGTATCAGGTGCATCTCGCGTACAACTCCCCTCGTTCATTCCCAGAGATCACCGACACGCCCACCCAATGACACCTCACCAGCACCAGCACCATCATCACCCGCGTCCGGCCCGCCGCTACTCAGTCTACGCAGATCCTTCGCCCACCTCCTCAGACTTCGATCAAACAGAAGACACCTACCTGCAATCCGAATCCGACTCCAGTCTCACCCACGTAAAACACTCACCCCCCAGAAACGCCAATGCCAACAACAACGCCAACAACAGCAGCAGCAGCAGCAATGTACTCTCACCTCTCCACCGCACATCCTTCAAACTACCCCATACCACATTCGCCAACCTCCCATCCACCCACACTTCCTCCTCCATCCTCATACTACCCCCTACCCTAACACCACTGCACATCCGCATCGACACTCCCTCGTCCACACACCAGCTGCGCGCCACGGTAGCAGGCGACATGCGCTTCCGGGACGTAGTAAGCCAGCTGGTGCAGCAGGGACAGTATGCGGATGTGAGAGCGAGTGTAAGGTTGAGGGGGGAGTGGCAGGAACCCGGGTCTAGTGTGAGGATTAGTGAGGTGGTGCGGCAGTATGCGGTGAATGAACGGGGGGAGGTGGAGGTTAGGATTGAGGTTGGGCGTGGAGGAGGAGGGGAAGGGGGACGAGAAGGAAGAAGGGGGGGAGGTGGGTATGTTGGGGGGATACGGGGGTTTAGGGCTTGGGAGAGGGAGACGGGGCGGGCGTGGGAGATTAGGGATTGAGATTTATTTTCTTCTTTCCTTTTTTTGTTTCTTCCTTTTCAGTGACGACATAGGCGATATAGAAAATTGGTAATGAGATCAAGTTTCCTTCTAAAGTTTAAACATTCTTGATATGATAAAAGTTCCTAATACATCAATCGATTCACTCCTCTTTTTACTCCACTGTCTTGGACGTCATGGCTCGCTGCCTTTGCCCGGAACGCCAAGCCTGATCTAATGTGTTAAATGGTGTAGGTAATATGCCCAAGGGCACAAAAGGTACATGAAAATACCCAAAGAAATCAAAACTCCCTTTTCAGTCAAGTGCCGAATTGGGAGTAAAAACAAGCCATGCTCTGCACCCGAAACCACGCAAAATGCCACAAATAAAGGACCCAGAGTCATTTTCCTTCATGTCTGATAGTATTCGTCGTGCTCCTTTGACAGCCTCTATGACTTCAAGCTGTCCTGCATGCTCCTGCTGCTGGCGCTGAGCGGGATGTTGCTGGTGGGGAGAACCGTCTTGGGCTGGCTGTTCTGTCGGATCTTGGCTAGCGCGTAAACCAGACCGCTGACGAAACCGACAAAGATGGCAGAAACACTACCAAAGGTGACGGGCGCATCGAAGAAGATCAGACCGCTGAGAGCGATGGGGAGTTTGTTCAAAGCGCCAACCATGGAGTACGTGGTAGACGAGGTGACACGGACAGCCCAGGCGGAAGTGTATGAGATGAAGACTGTGGAGAGACCAGACACGATCATGACGGTGATGACGGTGTTGCGCTGGTCAGGGGGAAAGTTCTTCTGGATGTTCGCGGAGGACCAGTCTTCGACGAGGATCGAGGCAACCAACAGGATAGGAATGGTGAGGAGGTTGTTGTAGTACATGGCTGATTAGAATTAGCAGACCGCTCATTGTAGCGAGCCAGAATAAACTCACTGTCAAAGTCCTTGAAGTTGGTGAGCTTGATGCGCTTGCGCATACCCAAAACATAAGTAGCCGTGCACAAGCAGTTGAACATCATCCAGAGGTAGCCAGCGTGCAGAGTGGACATGGCGTCTGTGGATGCGCTTGTAGACTGTCCCATGCTTGACAAAGCGTGCTGAATGTCTGCCCAGGCCGCGATGACGGAGCTGAAGACCATCAATCCGAAAGAAAAGAGCGCCATTGGCGTGACAGCACCTCCGAACCAGAGAACCTCTCCGTATGCGATCAAGATGATGGTAAGGTTCTTGAAAATGGTGTAGACGGGAATCGAGAGGAACTTGAGAGCCCAGGTGCTCGTATAGATCATACCGATGAGGAGAAGAGAGATGGGAAACCCTGCTGCTGTTAGACCAAGTTTGAGCCGCGAAGTATGATAAACGTACATTTCTTTGCTTCATCGCTGTTGAAGTCGCGGTATGTGATGATACCAGCGCTCTTGCATATCGAAATTGCTGCAACGCAGACAACAGACTGTTGTGTGTTAAAAAGAATCCGTCTTGTAGGCTATGAAGCCGACATACCTGTACGCAGAGAAGGAAGAAAGGGAGGTTGAAGTCAACGCCAGAGAGGACGTATTTGTTCGTAACGGTCATCAGAATGGAGGAACCACAGTAGGCCAGGATGGCAGCGACTGGGTTCTCCGTTATGGACGTGGACCCGCCCCGATGTGAATTGGACGCGCGAGGCAACGGGGAGGGCGCGCGGAACTCCTTGCCCGAGGGCATGTCGACCCTGTAGTCGTCGCTCTTCTTGTCGTCGGACATTGTGAAAGAGAAGAAATGTGTTCACAATAATCGGAGGTGGTATGCGGCAACGACAGGAAAGTCCAGCGATAAGGACAGCTATGTAGCGGCGACGGTGCGACCACAGAAAATGTGGTTGTTGAGGGGAGGAAAGGAAAGAAGCAAAGAGAGAACAGGAGGGTGGGACCTAGGAGGGAGAAGGCGAGCGTTACTAGAAGGATGTGCAGGGACGCGAATGGGGTGGGTCACAGCGATGCAGTCTCCCCTGGTTTGGAGTCGTTGGCTTGCAGCCGTGGTAATTTCAAATGCCACTAAACTGCCTTTGAACACGAGAAAACCGTATGTACATGTCAGCACCGCAACCCGCACTCGGGCCTGCATCCGGCTCTATTTTTGGCCTCAGAAATAAACTATATCGTACAGCTGTGATGCAGGACTTGTGTTAAGAAGAGTACATCTAGCGCTGCGTTTTCAGCAAATACTTGCCTCACTGAGATACTTGAATACACGGACGGATGATCTTCACTGGGGGTTCTTTATCGCCACGTGACCTGTCTTATCGCACCGCTACTTTCTTTCCCCTGATTGACCGCTCAACAAGTGACCTGGGCAATTTCCGAAATGGCGGCTCTTGACCCAAAAGTCGCTTCGCTCGTCGATAAGGCTGCACGAGAAGATGATTCGGACGAGGATGCACTCATCGCCTCCCTGGAAAATGACGAGGAGTTAGATGCGTTCCGCGAGCAACGACTTCAACAGTTGCATCAAGAGTACGACAAGGCGCGACGATTGAAAGAGAGCGACCATGGGACATACTCTGAGATTAAAGATGAGAAGGTTTTGATGGACATCACAACAAGCACTAAACTATGTGTGGTGCATTTTTTCAAGCCCGACTTCAATCGCTGCCGCATCATGGATACTCATCTCGAGGTAAAAACCACTCCCTATTACAATCAGACTGTTTTGCTGAAACCAAACAGTCACTGGCCTCTTCACACTATGAGGCCCGATTTCTCAGGATCAACGTTGATAACTGCCCTTTTCTTGTCACTCGTCTGGGTATCCAGGTGTTGCCATGTGTCATTGCCTTCATTGACGGTGTGGGAGCTGATCGTATTATTGGATTTGAGGGGCTTGGCCACACTGAGCAAACCTTTACGACTCGCGATCTGGAGGCCAGGCTTATTCGAGCAAACGTACTTGCAAGAAACAAGGTCAACGAGGAGGATGAGAGACAAAGACTGCAGCGAAGCAAAGCAAAGGAGCAGGAAGATGAGGATGAAGATTGGGACTGAGTGTCCATAAGGTTGAATCACGTGGTCCTATGTGGCTGGAAGCTATAATGCTGCAAGGCAGTGTACCCTCTCACATCAGTAGGATCACCAGCATTTCATTTGCTGCTCAGAATACAATGCATCGGGGGTCACAGCAAAGGCCTGCAATCAAGCTTACAACAAGCAAAGCTTTTATATACGCGCCGTCAAAGGGAACCAGTTGCTCGATCGCATCCAGTAGTCACAGCCCAATATACCAATCACAGCATAACAAGAGAAACTACCTTTAGTTCTGTTTAGCGTAACAAGTGAGGCATTTCCGACAAACTCGTTTTTGATATTACACAAAGAACTATCTCTATGCATAGTGGGACGGTCGAGTGTCAAGCCTAGAATACGGAATACTGTGGCTAACTCTGATTGGTTGTCACCAAACTACATGCACATGCGCTGAATGACTTTCCAGATGGGAGCTAGTCTATGAGTACAAGTAAGGTCGTGCGCCTCGAAACCATGAAACTCTGAAACTGCGGAGTTCACGCGGGAGATCTGTGCATCTACACCTTTCAGCCCCAGGACCACAAGGGCAGCGAAGTAAGTAAGGAGGCCTTATTGAGTCTCTGATCTGCGTCATGTCAAAACAATCTAAATTTCCCCAATGTTTCCAGTGGCTAATACACTGTACTTGCTTTGCTTCTGCTCCCAAACTGGTTTTGAGGGCCGCCATGGGAACCACAGCTGTGTTGAAGCTCTCTTCGCCGCCAATGACCTGTGGGGGTTACCCAAACGCTAATGTGAGAGCCTTGAGTTGCAATGCGGAGGCGGATACACCCATCGAACGCTGTGTACGACTACTTGGGGTCGAGCAGATGCCAGTTATAACTACGGCACCATGTAAACGGCATGTATCATGTTCGGTGGATATGATGGAGATGGAAGTAAGAGCTTTCGTGAATGCCAACAAAAGAGCACTATAGCTAGCGTAGTTACTTGTGTGATTGTGTATTCACCATGGGGCTAGGTAGACTAATGAATCCTCTGGTGTAGTAATCGTATGCGTGCTTGTCCTTTCTTTTTCGCCTTTGGACCATTGTCCCCGCGTGACTTGCAAGTGGATCGCTTGATGCTTACTTTGCATTGCATATTTGATGCGGAGGATGGCTTGTGACGTTCCAGGTATGAAACTTGGTGCTAGTTTCGATGTCGGCCAATCTGGTCAGTATCCGGCCCAGGCCGGACCTACTGGGCAAGTATTGGTTCCGCTCCCGCGCCGCGGCGGTGGGTGAAGAGCTCACGCACCCCCACGCAAAAGTGTGTGTAAGGCTGATGTATTGGGTGCGAAAGGAGTGCGGCCTCAATGGTGCATCGTTGCAACAAATGAGGCTAAATACAGAGCGGACGAGAGCGAATCACAGTATTGTCCCGACGAACGAGTGGTTAGCGAAGACAGTCGGCACAAGTCCCGCGCGGCGATTCGGCGTGGTAGGTGTAATGGCTTCGCGTCAGGGCGGCATTGTCGGGTGGTGCTTGAGTGGGAATCGTGCATTACAGCTTGCGGGCCCCACCATGGCAGCTAGCTTACCAATGCAGCCCAGTTGGTCTGGATACGCAAGGAGGGGCCGGAGGAATGTGACGATCTGAATTGCAAGTGGCCAAGAAGGCGAGGCGCGCAGACGCACCCTAGTCTGTGTATACTCTAAATCGTATCTGCAGGTGGTGGTGAGGGCGAGGGTAGTAGGGTGCAGAGGTGGTGGACTCGGACAGCTTTGCTTGATAGCGGGGTAAGTAGTTGGTTGCCCGCATGACGACGGCGCGACCGGAAGCTCAACGCAACGCAACGCAACATAGCGAGCGCTCTCACAAACATGGCCCAACACTCTGGAGCTGACCAGCCATGCAAATCTGTCGTGTTCCAGCTAGTGACGGATGTCCGAAGCAGTGCAAGGCCAAGGTAGCCATCGCCTTGTCCGCGACAGGACTCGCCGAGTTTGGACCAGCCTCTTCCGCCGGCGGCGGCTTGGTGGGCTGGCGTGGACCGGAGGTGCGTTGCGAGAGATGCGGCGGCTTAGTGATTGTGCCAAATAGCCCGGATGTTGACTGACGGCCCAAGGCCCTTTTTAACCACGTCAGACGGCACTGAGACGCGAGGGTGGGCAGGCCGTGTGTCTGTGTCTGTCAGTGAGGGTACTATCATATCCCCCGGCGTCTGAGCGGCAAATTGGGGCTAAAACGTCACCACCACGAGGGCCTGTAAACCGCTAGAGCATGTCCGATAACCCCACCAGTCGCTGGAGCTTTTCTTTCCACTCACCACGCCCTACCCGTAGCTTCTCTTCTTCCCTCAAGACTCCTCTTCCACCCCTGACTCTCATTGCCCACTGCAGCCCTTAATTGAGCTGTCACCTCGCGACCGCGCCTTCTGCAGAGCGATTGCACACCGAACCACCCTTTTACCATGGCCGATACAGTTATCCAGCCTCAACACGAGGTGGTCAATGCCGGGTAGGTAGCTTCACTTGTCTTCACAGCTCGCGTCCCACCGCTTGCAAGGAGCCTTCCTCAGTCTCGCCTCAATTTCTCCGGCCGCACTTTCCCGGTGAACAATGCTGCTGCTCTCAATGGAGGGGTTGCTCTATACCCGAATCCAATAAGCCATCACTGAGACCTTCTGAACTCCGCCGCTAATTTACGTGCTCTCGCAGAAACATGGAGCTCAAGGACAACACCATCATTGTTGTTCTCGGCGCCTCTGGTGACTTAGCCAAGAAGAAGACTGTACGTACATACCCATGCCTAATCGGTAGACACGTCAAACTAACATCACCGCAGTTCCCAGCTCTCTTCGGCCTTGTAGGTTACGCGGCCAAAATCGTATTCCACCTCCGTTGACCATCGATACAGCACCGAAACAACTTCCTCCCCAAGAACATCAGCATCGTCGGATATGCGCGGACCAAGATGGACCGCGAGGAATACCTCAAGCGCGTCAAGTCGTACATCAAGACCCCCACAAAGGACCTGGAGAAGCAGCTGGACGAATTCTGCAACTTCTGCACCTATGTCTCGGGTCAATACGACCAGGACGACTCATTCATCCAGCTCGAGAAGCACATGCAAGAGATTGAAAAGGGCCGCAAGGAGACCAACCGCGTCTTCTACATGGCTCTTCCTCCCAGTGTCTTCATCACAGTTTCTCAGCACTTGAAGCGCAATTGCTACCCAAAGAGCGGCATTGCCCGTGTCATTGTAAGTCAAATGCATTCACCAATGCAGTTTCATGCCGCTGACTGCAATTGTACAGGTCGAGAAGCCATTCGGCAAGGATCTCCCAAGTTCAAGAGAGTTGCAAAAGGCATTGGCTCCAGACTGGTCTGAAGATGAGCTCTACCGAATTGACCATTACCTGGGTAAGGAGATGGTCAAGAACATTCTCATTCTTCGATTCGGTAACGAGTTCTTTGGCGCAACCTGGAATAGGAACCACATCGACAACGTTCAGGTATGGCAATCTGAGCATGTCTGGAGATGGAGATACTGATGAGCGCAGATCACCTTCAAGGAACCTTTTGGCACCGAAGGACGAGGAGGTTACTTTGACGAGTTTGGCATCATCCGTGATGTCATGCAGAACCGTGAGTGACAAAACAAAAATTCGAAAAGAAAGAAGAATTCACTAACAATTGTAGATTTGCTGCAAGTACTAACGCTTCTTGCTATGGAGCGACCAATCTCCTTCTCAGCCGAAGACATCCGTGACGAGAAGGTGCGTGTCCTCCGTGGCATGGCCTCCATCGAGCCCAAGAATGTCATCATCGGACAATACGGAAAGTCGCTGGATGGAACGAAGCCAGGCTACAAGGAGGACGACACGGTGCCCAAGGACTCGCGATGCCCCACCTTTGCTTCCATGGTCGCTTACATCAAAAACGAGAGGTGGGACGGTGTGCCTTTCATCCTCAAGGCCGGAAAGGCTCTCAACGAGCAAAAGACCGAGGTCCGCATCCAGTTCAAGGATGTCACTTCGGGTATTTTCAAGGACATTCCCCGTAATGAGCTTGTCATCCGAGTGCAGCCCAACGAGAGTGTCTACATTAAGATGAACTCCAAGCTGCCCGGTCTCAGCATGCAGACCGTTGTCACAGAGCTTGATCTTACCTACAGGCGGCGATTCTCCGACCTGAAGATCCCAGAGGCATACGAATCGCTCATTCTCGACGCGCTCAAGGGCGACCACTCCAACTTTGTTCGTGACGATGAGCTCGATGCTAGCTGGAGGATCTTCACTCCTCTGCTGCACTACCTGGACGACAACAAGGAGATCATCCCCATGGAGTACCCATACGGTAGGCGAAATAAGGTGATATGAATCGTACAACTGCTAATTACATGCCAGGCTCTCGTGGTCCCGCCGTATTGGACGACTTCACTTCTTCTTATGGATACAAGTTCAGCGACGCAGCAGGTAAGACATGATCTCTATAGTGCACTAGAAATAATTTGCTAATGCAGGCCCAGGATACCAATGGCCAATGAACGAGCAGAAGTTGTAGAAGACTACTGGTGGTTATGTTTGAAAGCGGCAACGAATTGCGCCCTCTTGGTGTGTTGATCGGCTTCGGCAGTCTTTCCACGCAGAAATACAAGGAGCTGAATAGATAATGAATGCAACGACGTCTGTATGTCGCAAAGTACTGTGCTTAGATGATGAGTGATTATTCGTAGCGCGTCTGTTGCCAGGCATTCTAGTTTGAATTTAGACTTCCGAAAAGCGGAGGACTCAAGCAAGCGAGTGGCCGGCGGCGGTAGTGGGGTAGAGGCTAGAGCGGTATGGCATCATCGGAGGAATTGAGAAATTTTTGAAAAAGGTCTGGTCAGACGCCCACTGAGTCAAAGTAGAGGTGTCATAGCAGTCGGAGATTTAACCACGCAGTGAACACGTATTGATTTAAAATGGAAAGCATCCCTTGAGAAATTGCTGTTGCTCACCAGTCGACGCTACTTACTCCCTTTCTTCGGCTGACGTTTGCAGCCTTGCAGAACCCGTCCTGATATTACCGCGTGATTCATTTGGTACGCAACCCATTTTAGTATCCGTAGTAGAAACGCGGCGGTATTTATAGTCTGAGTTTTTGAGCCCCCGGATTGTACGACCTGTTTGAGTTGTAGCATCCCCCCACCTCTCCCCCGAGCAACCTCCGCAATCACGCCCGCGCGCGCCCATCATGACTCCCGCCCAAGACATTGCTGGCAGCATTAGCCAAATCTCACGCAGCGTATCCAACAGCCTCAACATCAGTACCAGCCCAACCCTCTCGTTCCACAGCCCACCCTCGACATTCAGGCAACCACCGTCTGCCAACTCTAGAGATGGTCGGACCCCGAACCTACCCGGCACGTCGCATGCACAGCAGCTGGCTAAACAGCTGAAGCCGTTTGACACCAAGGACATCAAGGTCCTTCTCTTGGAAAATGTCAACGAGGCTGGTGTGGATATCTTGAGGGGCCAGGGCTACCAGGTCGAGGCGATCAAGGCCAGTGTGGGAGAGGATGAGTTGATTGAGAAGATTCGCGATATCCATGTGATTGGAATTCGGTCCAAGACGAAGCTCACCAAGAAGGTACTCGAGGCAGCAAAGAACCTCATTGTCATCGGCTGCTTCTGCATCGGAACCAACCAGGTCGACCTCCAGACTGCTGCCAGCAAGGGTATCGCCGTCTTCAACTCGCCGTTTAGCAACTCGCGCTCGGTTGCCGAGTTGGTCATCTCAGAAATCATTGCGCTCGCTCGCCAGCTCACTGACCGCTCCATGGAGCTCCACAACGGTACTTGGAATAAGGTCAGCAAGGGATGCTGGGAAATTCGTGGCAAGACATTGGGCATAGTCGGATACGGACACATTGGTTCGCAACTCAGTGTGCTGGCAGAATCCATGGGCATGAACGTCATTTACTACGATGTACTGACCACCATGGGCCTGGGAACCGCGCGACAAGTACCGTCTTTGGATGACCTTCTCGCACAGGCCGATTTTGTGTCTCTACACGTGCCCGCGACAGCCGAGACCAAGAACATGATTGGCAAAGAGCAGTTTGCAAAGATGAAGGACGGCAGCTACCTCATCAACAACGCCCGCGGTACCGTCATTGACATTGCGGCGTTGGTTGAAGCCAGCCGCTCCGGCAAGCTGGCGGGTGCAGCCATCGACGTGTTCCCCAACGAGCCTGCCGGTAACGGTGACTACTTCAGCAACGAGCTAAACACGTGGACAAAGGATCTTGTGGGTCTCAAGAATATTATCCTCACACCGCATATTGGCGGCAGTACCGAGGAAGCGCAGAGCGCAATCGGCGTCGAGGTCAGCACAGCATTAGTCCGCTATGTCAATGAAGGCACGACGCTTGGCGCCGTCAACATGCCCGAGGTCAATCTCCGAAGCTTGACGCTCGACCAGCCCGACTGCATGCGTGTGATTTATATCCACAAGAACGTGCCTGGTGTGCTGAGGCAGGTCAACGGCATTCTGCTGCACCACAACATTGAGAAGCAAATGTCGGACTCAAGAGGCGATGTTGCTTATCTGATGGCAGATATCAGTGAGGTCAAAGAGAGTGAGATTCGGGATATATTCACGAGCTTGGAGGAGTTGTCGTGTAAGTCTTTGCTCTGTTATCATTCTTGGTGTAGGCCATGGCTAACAGGGCTGGTTGCAGCGTGTATCCGAACGAGGGTCTTGTACTAGGGGTCGGCTCGTCTCCGACCAGTGCCTCAGACTCAGCAAGGTGAGGGAACGAAGCGAACGTGTTTGAGGCGTGTGATTTCTCCTCTTGTTGTGTCTCGAAGTATGACGCCTCTTTCAATTCAACATTTCTTCTTCAAAAAGGGAAACGGGAAACTAGGGTGGGGCGCTGTGTAAAAACTTCAACGTTGAGTCTGTGTGTAATGCATGCAGAGCAAAAAAGGGCATGTGTCGTGTTTGCTAGATTTGTTTGTGCACTGGTTTGCTTGGTATAAAAGTGTGCTGGGGTCTGGGGAGTGCCATTGCTAAATACACATAGAGACAGAATGCATGATTTATGAAACCGGAGTGAACCAGGTAATACGTCTAAACGAGGTGAGATGAGTTTGTGCAAACGCATGCTGTTGTTTTAGTGTTTGTGATGGCACAAGGGTGGTGGCTGCGAGGGGTGCAGAGTACCGTAGGAGCTGAGGTGTATGAGAGCACGTGATACAGTGGAGCATATGTATGCATGCCATGTCATGCTGTCTATCTATGGACATGTACTTGTCAGATGACGCAAACGTGTGACGGGTGACGGGAGGATTTCTCGCTCGACAAAGACATGGAGAGTGCGAGACTGTCTTTGTATGTACTATGTATATACATGTCTCGGATGGACGAGACGAGGCAAATGAGGCAACCTGGTTTCAGGAGGTAGACGGGCTGGGTCAGGCCGGCGATGTGGCCATGCATGACGGATTTGCAGGGCAGGGAATGGCATGGGCTTGGAGAGGGGGGGAGTGGGGAGCGAATGGCTCGGCGTAGTGCGGATAGTCGAATATGGTAGACCAGTGTCTGAGGTTGCCGTATGGACACGCACGCATAGAGAGAGGCACACAGGTACGGGAGGGAGAGGCACCTATACACACAAATCGGTCGACACATCGATACATGGGGGTGCGGCTTATTCGCATGCAGCGTCGAGGAGGTGCATATTGTGAGACGAGAGTCTGCGTGGCCGTGGTTGGTGGTTGGGTAGGGCCCCTGGGGCATGGCCTGTGCGCTTAAGCGGCGTGCTGGCGGTGAGAGGCCCGTCTAGCGCAACCAAGAGAAAGTCGAATCAAGTGCTGGCAGGTGTTCGCATGTTTCCAACCACACCGTTTGTCCTTCTCACTCCTGGGGATGCTGTCAAGCCTGTGACCTGCAGCGCCATCCACTGCTGACCACGACGACGAGCAGCAGCAGTAGCTTCACGACAACAAAGCCAGCGGCCGCACTTATATCGCGAGCTGAGCGTTGACCATCCGCCCCCCCTCCCCTCCTTACAGGGAGCCGCTTTGGACCCTGATATTCCGCACCGCCATTTGGAGGACATAGACGACGCAGGAGACGACGCCTGCGACTGCCCACCATGGCTCACATCTACGACATCGGCACCCGCGCATGGCAGCCCGACACCACCGAGGGCTGGGTTGCCTCCGAGGTGACGGACAAGCAGATTGCGGGGGATAAGGTGACGCTGGTCTTCACTCTGGAAAATGGCGAGGTACTCCCACACCCACACCCATGGACGGCGAAGCCTGTTGGGAGAGGATACTGATCATGTATTGTACAGACCAAGACGGTCGAGACGACTCTCGACGCCATCCAGACTGGCAACGACGACAAACTGCCGCCATTGATGAACCCCGCCATGCTTGAGGCTAGCGACGACTTGACCAACTTGTCGCATCTTAACGAACCGGCTGGTACGGCCTCCTCTCTACACACACAGACAAATTCGCATGTCATACTGACCAGCATGCAGTCCTCCAGGCCATTAAGCTTCGTTACTTACAAAAAGAGATCTACACATATTCGGGTATTGTCCTGATTGCAACGAATCCCTTCGCCCGCGTCGACTCCCTATATGTTCCCGGCATGGTACAAGTTTATGCTGGCAAACAGAGATCATATGGCGCTCCGCATTTGTTCGCCATTGCTGAAGAGGCTTTTGCGTAAGAATTTCCCTCCCACTCCGCCACTGGCACGGAACTTGGGCAGTAGTGACTAACATGCCACAGCGACATGTTGCGCGACCAGAAGAACCAGACCATTGTCGTTTCTGGAGAGTCTGGTGCTGGTAAGACGGTCAGCGCCAAATACATCATGCGATACTTTGCCACACGAGAGTCTCCCGACAACCCGGGCAAGCGGAGAGGCAAGTCCGACCAGATGAGTGAGACGGAAGAGCAAATTCTGGCTACCAATCCCATCATGGAAGCCTTTGGTAACGCGAAGACCACGCGAAACGACAACTCGTCTCGTTTCGGTAAATACATTGAAATCATGTTCAACAAGCAGACGGACATTATCGGTGCCAAGATCAGGACATATCTGCTCGAACGGTCAAGACTGGTGTTCCAGCCGCTTAAGGAGCGCAACTACCACGTTTTCTACCAGCTGGTAGCCGGTGCTACCGACGAGGAGCGTGAGGAGCTTTCGCTCAAGTCGGTCGAGGAGTTCAGCTACCTCAACCAGGGTAGCGCTCCCGTTATTGAGGGCATGGACGACGTTGCTGAATTCAAGGCGACAAAGCAATCGCTGACCAAGATTGGTGTTTCGTCCGAAACCCAAGACGGCATCTGGCGCCTGCTTGCGGCCCTTTTGCACATGGGAGATGTCAAGATCACTGCGACACGAACAGACTCAAATCTTTCTCCCGAGGAGCCCTCTCTCGTCAAGGCCTGTGCCCTGCTCGGAATTGACGCAAACACGTTTGCCAAGTGGATAGTAAAGAAGCAACTCATTACCAGAGGAGAAAAGATTGTTTCCAACCTGACACAACAACAAGCTATCGTCGTCCGAGACTCGGTTGCCAAATTCATCTATTCAAGTCTGTTCGACTGGCTAGTAGAGCGAACCAACGAGAGTTTAGCCACAGAAGAGGTTATTGCGTCTGCCCACACCTTCATCGGTGTTTTGGATATCTACGGTTTCGAGCACTTTGCAAAGAACTCTTTCGAGCAGTTCTGTATCAACTATGCCAATGAGAAATTGCAGCAAGAGTTCAACGCACACGTCTTCAAGCTCGAGCAGGAAGAATACATGCGTGAAAAGATCGACTGGACTTTTATCGACTTTGCCGACAACCAACCGTGTATCGACCTGATTGAGGGCAAGCTCGGTATCCTGTCCCTCTTGGATGAAGAGTCTAGGTTGCCTATGGGTTCCGACGAGCAGTTTGTCACCAAGCTCCACCACAACTACTCGGGAGACAAGCACAAGTTCTACAAGAAGCCTCGATTTGGAAAGTCTGCCTTCACCGTTTGCCACTACGCCGTCGACGTCACATACGAGTCTGATGGCTTCATTGAGAAGAACAGAGATACTGTGCCCGACGAGCACATGGAAGTCCTCAAGGCCTCAAGCAACAAGTTCTTGACTGAAGTGTTGGACACTGCTGCTTCGATCCGAGAAAAGGAGACAGCCAGCACTGCCTCTGCCAAACCGGGTGCTGCAGTCTCAGCTGGACGCAGGGTGGCTACCAACCGAAAGCCAACGCTTGGTGGTATCTTCAAGTCTTCGCTCATCGAGCTCATGCAAACCATCAATTCGACTGATGTTCACTACATCCGTTGTATCAAGCCCAACGAGGCAAAGGCTGCCTGGCAATTTGACGGACCCATGGTTCTGAGTCAATTGCGTGCTTGCGGTGTCCTCGAGACGGTCAGAATCAGTTGTGCCGGCTACCCTACCCGATGGACGTACGAAGAATTCGCCCTCCGTTACTACATGTTGGTCAGGTCCTCCGAATGGACACCGGAAATTCGCAACATGGCCACAGCCATTCTGAAGAAGGCTCTGGGCACTGGCAAGAACGATGGCACCGACAAGTACCAGATGGGTCTGACCAAGATCTTCTTCCGCGCTGGTATGCTTGCATTCCTTGAGAACCTGCGTACTGCTCGCCTCAACGATGCGGCCGTTATGATCCAGAAGAACCTCCGTGCTAAGTACTACCGCCGCGTCTATCTCGAGATGCGCGAAGCTGTCATCTCGGTTCAGTCGTTGGCTAGAGGTTACATGACCAGAGAACGCGCTGAGGAGGCACGACAGGTCAGGGCTGCGACCACCATCCAAAGAGTCTGGAGGGGTAGCAAAGACCGCAAGCGCTTCCTCTTCGTCAGGAACTCGGTCATCAAATTCGAAGCTGCCGCGAAGGGATACCTTCTCCGCAAGAACATTCTGGACAAGAGGCTTGGAGATGCTGCTCGTATGATCCAGCGGAACTGGCGCAAGCAGCGTTACATCCGCGCCTACAAGAAGCAGATCAAGCAAATCATCACTGTTCAGAAACTGTGGCGAGGACGAAAGGCCCGCAAGGAGTACAAGGTCCTGCGCGCCGAATCTCGCGATCTCAAGAACATCTCCTACAAGCTGGAAAACAAGGTCGTCGAGCTTACTCAGAACTTGGGTACGATGAGGGAACAGAACAAGTCGCTCAAGTCACAGGTGGAGAATTACGAGAGCCAGATCAAGTCATACAAAGAACGCAGCCGAACTCTCGAGAACCGCCAGAAGGAACTTCAGGCCGAAGCCAACCAGGCTGGTATCACTGCTGCCAAGCTCAGCCAGATGGAGGACGAGTACAAGAAGCTGCAGATCAGCTACGAAGAGAGCACTGCCAAGATGCGTCACTTGCAAGAAGAGGAGAAGGAGCTCCGCGCTTCGCTCAAGAGGACTACCGAGGACCTCGAGCAGTCAAAGAGGAGGAGCAATGTCACTGAGACAGAGAAGATGTCGCTCCGCCAGCAGCTTGCCGAACTCCAGGAGCAGGTCGAGTTGATGAAGCGCTCTGGACCAATCCCCAGCGACCTCAATGGACATGCTCCAAGCATTGCGCCCAGCAGCTTGATCAAGCTCGTCTCGTCGAAGAAGCCAAAGAGGCGCAGTGCCGGACCCGACACTCGCGACATCAACCGCTTCAGCGAACAATACAACCCTCGCCCTGTCTCCATGGCGCCTGGCTCCACCATCCACAGGCAGAACCTGTCCGGCTCAACGTTTGCTCAGCTTGACAACGTCGAGATGGAGCTTGAGAACATCCTTGCCGAGGAGGACATGCTCAACGACGAGGTTACTCTTGGACTCATCAAGAACTTGAAGATCCCATCACCCACTACCACACCTCCTCCCACCGACAAGGAAGTCCTCTTCCCTGCCTACCTCATCAACCTCGTCACTTCGGAGATGTGGAACAATGGCTTCGTCAAGGAGTCTGAGCGCTTCCTTGCCAACGTCATGCAGTCGATCCAGCAAGAGGTCATGCAACACGATGCCGAGGATGCCATCAACCCAGGCGCCTTCTGGCTGTCTAACGTCCACGAGATGTTGTCCTTTGTCTTCCTCGCTGAAGACTGGTACGAGCAACAAAAGACGGACAACTACGAGTACGACCGCCTGCTTGAGATTGTCAAGCACGACTTGGAGAGTCTTGAGTTCAACATTTACCACACCTGGATGAAGGTGCTCAAAAAGAAGCTGCACAAGATGATCATTCCCGCCATCATCGAGTCGCAATCCCTACCTGGCTTCGTTACCAACGAGAGCAACCGCTTCCTTGGCAAGCTGCTCCAGGGCAGCAACACCCCTGCTTACAGCATGGACAACCTCCTCACCCTGCTCAACAGTGTCTACAAGGCTATGAAGGCATACTACCTTGAGGACTCCATCATCACACAGTGCGTCACCGAGTTGCTGAGATTGGTTGGTGTTACCGCCTTCAACGACCTGCTCATGCGCCGCAACTTCCTCTCATGGAAGCGTGGTCTCCAGATCAACTACAACATCACCCGCATTGAGGAGTGGTGCAAGTCTCATGATATGCCTGAGGGTACTCTGCAACTTGAGCACCTTATGCAAGCTACCAAGCTGCTTCAACTGAAGAAGGCTACATTGAACGATATTGAAATCATCCAGGACATTTGCTGGATGTTGAGCCCTAACCAGATCCAGAAGCTGCTCAACCAGTACCTTGTGGCAGACTATGAACAGCCCATCAACGGCGAAATCATGAAGGCTGTCGCATCCCGAGTGACGGAGAAGAGTGATGTTCTGCTGCTCACGGCAGTCGACATGGAGGACAGTGGCCCATACGAGATTGCGGAACCTCGAGTCATTACTGCATTGGAGACATACACGCCATCATGTAAGGTCTCTTTTCATTAAATTCCTTTTTTTGGATTGCTCAAACATATCTAACACGTCTGTAGGGCTTCAAACACCCCGCCTCAAGCGCCTTGCCGAGATAGTGTCTCAGCAGGCTATTGCGCAACAAGAGAAGCTCGAGTTTGACGACGACATGCCCGCCGGCCAATCCAACGGCGACGCCATGAACGCTCTGACTGGCGGCATGGGCATGAACGGCGGGGGAATGAATGGACACGCAACGATTGAAGAAGGTATTGAGGCATGAACTTGAGCATATTTGTAAGCGAAAATTTGGCATTTAGACATGACCGAGACGAAGCATTAAAGAAAGCCTTATCGTTTTCCCCCGAATGTTTGTAGTTGTAGCTGTCTGTCTCTCTGACTGTGTAGGCTGGGACCTGCATGAAAGGAAAGGCAAAAAAAGGGCGGTACAATTGCTGGGGGTTGGTATCGACGATGATGACGACGAAGATGGAGTGTATTGATTTTCTCTACTTCGCTTTATTTTGGGTTGGGTTATTTAATGCTGGGAAATATGAGATTTTTTGTCTTCTTCAACTCTTACTGATTGTTTGCCTGGCGTAACCAGCTGCAAGCCCCCTTTGGAGGAAAGGTTCAAGTAGGTTTCCAGAGTGTTTTCCATAAGTCGCGCACAATTAGTCGTCACATGCATGGAGCGGCAGTTGACAAGATGGCCAGATGGGTATGCGGCACGACCGGCGGTGCCCCATGTGGAGACGGAAGCGAAGTTGCGATTCTTGTCCGTAAAGTATTGGTTACGTAGGCGCAATGCGGGATAAAAGGGCTTATTCGGACATGGCAATGCGGCAGTCAGAGCTGGGATACTCTAGCCGTGGTAAGTATTCGCAGGTGAAACTCCGAGCCACATGCATGAGGAGCATACGTAAGTGACAGGTGGGAAAGGGCAACGCGCCAAGATTCGCCCGGCCCGCGCCCAGTCCAAAGGACGCTAGGTAACGCTTCCCCGTTTCTGGGGCCCTACACTGGTCCCCGCCTTCATCTCATCAAGCGAACACATGGCCAAACCCAAAGATAGCTTGCTGACGGAGTTCCCCTTGTTTCCTTTTTCCCCTTTTGCGTCTTCCCTTTCGCACTTTTGTTATTTATTATTATTTTGCCAAAACTCGATGATCTAGAAGAAAAGAAGAAGTAGACGATAAGGAAAAGAAACAAGAGCAAGAAGAAGATAAGGATACACCGACCAACTTCCATTCACTCTCTTTTGTGGTGCCCTCTTCTGAGCCTTTTCTTCTCTGGTTTCCCACAATCTTTTATTTGGCAACCTGAGATTTCCCTGCGTTAGACCCAATCGAACGGTAGTAGGACAGAGTACATATACACGAACCGCCCAATGCGCCTTCCCACGTTTCCGTAGACAGCCAGAGACACGCAGAGAGAGAACCTTGGGGCTGCACACGTCAGACCCACGCGACCGAGTCCCGCTCTTCCCCCCCACATCCCACGCCGTCTTTCCTTTTTTTTCTTCCTTTTCCATACGTGGGAAGGGAGCTAGAAGGAGAGAAAGAATCACGGTAGACGGGCAAAGAAAACTAGGGGAAAAGAAAGATGCCGTCTGTTGCGCAATGGCGGGGGACACCCTCAGTCAAGGGCCCAACTGAGGGTATACGCATGGCACTGCTAACTGCGTCACTCATTGGACTTCAGTACGTTTGACTAAGGGACTTTTTTTTTGTGTCACCAATTGTCCTCCAATTTGCTCTTAAATACGAATACCAAACTAACGCCTGGGGTTTTCAAGGTTCACGTGGAACGTAGAAATGACATACTGCACGCCCTACCTCCTCGAGCTCGGCCTCACAAAGTCCAAAATCTCCCTCGTATGGGTCGCCGGTCCACTGTCGGGTCTCATCATGCAGCCCGTTGTGGGCGTCGTCGCCGACCGATCTACCTCGCGCTGGGGCCGGCGGCGCCCGTACATGTTTTTCGGAACGATACTGGTATCCATGTTTTTGCTGCTGCTGGGCTGGACAAAAGAAGTCGTGCGGTACTTTATCAAGGACGAGGCGGCGGCAAAGAGCGCAAACGTATACGTGGCTGTGTTTAGCATTTACGGAATTGACTTTGCCATCAATGCGGTGCAGGGGAGCTGTAGAGGCTTGATTGTGGATACGCTGCCAATTGAAAAACAGCAGATGGGGAGTAGCTGGGCGAGCAGGATGGTGGCAGTAGGCAAGATGGTGGGATATGCGGCTGGAGCTGCGGATCTCAGGGCAATTTTCGGTCCCATGCTAGGTGATACGCAGTTCAAGCAGCTGACGGGTGTTGCGGCGCTGACTTTGTGTATTACTGTTGCTACGACAAGCTGGGCAGTCACGGAGAGAGTGTTGGTGAACGATGGTATGGCAAAGGCTTTGGATATCAAGCAGGTGGTTGGAACAATTGCGCATACTGCGCTCAATTTACCAAGAAGTATACAAGCCATCTGTACAGTACAGTTTTGGGCTTGGATCGGTACGTTTTTTTCTTCTTCTTCTCTTTCTTCGGGAGTTCCAAATTCGGTGGAATAGTGACACAAGCTAACAAAAATTCGAACAGGCTGGTTTCCTTTTCTCTTCTATAGCACCACATGGGTCGGCGAAGTCTACCTACGGTACGATGCGCCGCCAGAAATTAAAGCAGCCGGCGACATGACGGGCAAAGTCGGGAGAATCGGCTCGACGGCTCTTGTTTCCTTCTCAATCGTGACATTCATAACGTCTGTCCTGCTGCCCTTCTTCGTCGAGAACCCCGAGCATAGCGAAAAGGGCCCCGGCTTCTCACCCTCGTCCAAACGCAAGTTTGACGCGGGACCCTGGGAAAAACGCAAGCCAAGTCTGCTAACGGCATGGGTCGTTGCACACTGCATCTTTGCGTGCAGTATGAGTATGGCGCCTTTTGTGACTTCCATAAAACACGCGACTATCATCATTACTCTCTGTGGCGTGTAAGCACATCCTTTTCCTGTATTTTTTTCTGTGATGAATTGTGAGCTGACGTTGCATTAAAATGATTAAAGGTCATGGGCAGTTGCTTCATGGGCGCCATGGGCATTGATGGGCGTAGAAATCAACCGCCTAAACATGGCTACGGCGCACTCGACACATTCGAAGCGGGCCTCGATTGACCTCTCCGAGGCGCAGGATAAGCTGGAAAAGGCGGACGGAGCAGGTGCTGGATCGGGTAGAGGAGGAGCAAGCTCAGGGCAGTATCTGGGCATCATGAACCTGTACACGACACTGCCGCAATTCATGGGCACCGCCATTTCTTGGGTCGTCTTCTCCATCCTGGAACCGGGCAAGAGTCCCGAGCTGAGCGAGGCGCCGCCAGAGGAGCATCACAGCACGGATGGACCCAACGGTATTGCTGTCTGTTTGTTCATTGGAGCGTGTTCGGCATGTCTCGCGGTAGTGGCCACTTTCAGATTGGGCAGGATCCAGGGAAAGATGTAGGAGAGGGAGAGCAGCCATCCATGTGTGGCGTAATATGGCTCCAACACCAAAGGCACACAAAACTTTTTTTTCTTCTTCTTCTTTGCCGCCTCCGTGTGCAAGCATCAAGGGTCGCAATCTGTACAATACATACCATACATTATCCGAACTACCTCCGTTTTCCTCGAACCCTCGCCCCAGCAAAGGCATCAGCGATGAAGGCAAAATGCGAGCTGACGCGCTAAGCGGGATCGGGGCCCAGGAGAGATTTTGCTCTAAGATTTTCTAGTGGCCCGCTTTGTTCTAGAAGACAGGTGTGGCTCTGTCGGTGGTACAGTTCCGGGCATCGGGAGGGATAGAAGGTGTAGTCATCGTCGGCACATACGTGTATATAACGATGTGTATCGATCGAGAATGGTGACATGGTCATGATGATGATGCTGAGGGTCCCTGCTCTGACGAGCAGTGCAACGTGGATGAATCAGGTCGGGCAGCTGGCGAGGGTTTTCGTTGAGGTCAAAGGGCCTTTTTTTTCCTAATCTCTATCTGGGTGGGTGGAGATGGGGAGGGGGGCGCATGGCATAAGTGTGCCGTCTCCAGGTTGCAGTTGCTCGACTACGGCTACAGCATCTGCTCGCAGTTATCCGCATCGGCGGCCAAGGTCGGCCACGCATGGATGCAGCAGCGCGGTGACAGTGCGGGAGCGGGTTGCAGGGCAATGGGAGGCGGTAGAGGCTACTGGGCACAAGCTGCACGCAAGACTGAGGCCGTCTGTGGCCAGAGAGGGAAGAGGGCCTTGAGTCGTCCGTTGCGCGTGCCACGCCACGCCGGGCCTGGGAAAAGACGGTCAGGGTACAAAACCATCGGGGGCCCGGCTGGCCTGCGCGCTACAAGCTTTCTTTCTTTCCAATTCCCAGCGGCCGCCTTGAAGAAAGTCAGCTTGATTGTTGCTGTTGCTCGTCGTTGCACTCTCTCTCTCGTACGCGCTCATCCACGCATCCCCCCCGGCTCGCCCTCGATCCCTTGTATTTTCACACTAGGCGCAACTAGGCTCGTCCCTAGAAAACAACCCTTGCCTCGACTCAACCGCCGAAACATTTCCATCTCTCCCCAACCACTTCGCTTCGCCACTCTTGCATCCACACCACTCATTCGCCAAGATGTCTGAACCGATCCGCAATAAGAAGATGGATGCCATTACCGCTCCGTAAGTAGTTTTTGACTCGATTTTTTTTTTCTGCCCGACGTCCCCCGAGCTTTTCGTCTCCTTCCTCCACTATCCCTCCATCACAAACTCCAACCAGCCCCTCGCCTCGTTTCCCCCCCTCCACTCCCCCTCCATACATCATCCAACATGGACGTCCCTCAGTCTAACGTCCGCCCGACCAGCACCCCCCAAAACACGCCTGCAAATGCCGCCCCGATATCGTCGCGCGCCCAGCAGCCCGGTGTTGGCACCATCAAAGAAGGTACGTCGCGAGAAGGAAAAATCCTTGTTGTTGCTACTGCCCCTCCAACCCCGCCCTGCCCTGTTTGTCGCACGCCCTGACCGCCAATCTGACTTTTTTTTTCTTGTTTCACAGAGGACATGGAGCGCACTGCCGCTGGACTTTTTGCTGCCAACCCCGCCCTCGTCGCCATGATGCAGAACAAGCTCGGCTCGCTCGTCGGCCGCTCCAGCGGCTACATTGAGTCGCTTCCCGCCTCGGTTCGCCGCCGAGTGGCCGGCCTCAAGGGCGTCCAGAAGGAGCACTCGAAGCTCGAGGCTGAGTTCCAGGAAGAGGTGCTCCAGCTCGAGAAGAAGTACTTTGCCAAGTTCACACCCCTGTACCAGACGCGCCAGAAGATTGTCAACGGCGCCGAGGAGCCCTCAGAAGAGCACGTCAAGATTGGCGAGCAGCAGCAAGAGGACGATGAGGATGAGGACCAGCCCGAGGCTGAGCTCAACAAGGACGAGGGCAAGGACGTCAAGGGTATTCCCGAGTTCTGGCTGAGCGCCATGAAGAACCAGATCTCACTCGCCGAGATGATCACAGACCGCGATGAGGCTGCCCTCAAGCACCTCACAGACATTCGCATGGAGTACCTTGACCGCCCTGGTTTCCGCCTCATCTTTGAGTTTGAGGACAACGACTTCTTCACCAACAAGACCATCACCAAAACCTACTACTACCAGGAGGAGAACGGCTACGGTGGTGACTTCATCTACGACCACGCCGAGGGCGACAAGATTGAGTGGAAGGCTGGCAAGGACTTGACTGTCCGTGTCGAGAGCAAGAAGCAGAGGAACAAGAGTAAGTTTTTCTGATGATGTTCTTTTTGTCGCACGACAAGACGCTAATATGATTCTTTGCAGACACCAAGCAGACGCGCGTCGTTAAGAAGACTGTGCCTACAGAGTCGTTCTTCAACTTCTTCGACCCACCCAAGCCCCCACAGGACGATGATGACGCCACCTCCGACATCGAGGAGCGTCTCGAGCTCGACTACCAGCTTGGTGAGGACATCAAGGAGAAGCTTATTCCCCGCGCTATTGACTGGTTCACCGGCGAGGCTCTTCAGTACGAGAACATTGAAGACTTTGACGAGGGCGAGTTTGAAGACGAGGACGACGAGGATGAGGATGAGCTCAGCGATGACCGCGAGGAGGAAGAGGAGTCTGACGACGAGGTAGGCATTGACAGTGATTCGATATATCAAAACACCACTAACACACACTTGCAGAACGACGGCACAAAACCCAAGCAGGAGGCTGCCGAGTGCAAGCAGAGCTAAATGCATCAGCCTGCACCACATCTCACATTACCAAGAGCGTAATCTTCCGAGTCGTTCAGGGCGGAATGTTCATCTTGGACTGCTACAGCATGGGTCCATGGCGATCTCGGCTTGCCACGACGTTTCCACGAATCTTTATATCCAACACCACTTTTCCATGACTTCTTACCTGGCGTAATACTTGCATCAAGAGAGCGCAGGGGCAATGGTTGATTGGGGTTACCACGAACTAGCCATATCACCAAGTATTCTAGACCTCCCACCCTTTCTACACACATCCCCTTTTATCAGGTTCACGGCCCACAACCAACGATCGCTTAGCATAAACGGCGTTGTCTAGGTGGGGTTTTGCTGCATGTATTTTCCTTGGGATTGCAAAGGGGCCTTGATGTTTTACGATGGCAGTAGAATGGCGTAATCAGGCTCGAATGCGTGTCATGAGTAAATGAAAAGAAAAAGTTTGAAGCCCCATGGTTGGACCGTGTGAGGTTTGTGCGTGGGGGATGTTCATTGTGACGTATCAGAGCGAATAGGACCGTAATTGTGTATGGTGCGAGTGGGCGTTGATTTGAAAGGCACACCATCGGAGTTGATTGTAAAAAATGTCTTGTGACAACGACCCTGCATGCTTTGGTTTTTTTCCTTGTTGAACTACTAATTGCAGGCCAGCGGCGTTGGAGACTGGCTGCATATTTTCCTACTCATTCTTTTGGGACCGTTATTGTGTGCGGAATGAATACGTAGCGCGGGGTAAAGTTAGCGGCACAGTGGGGGCCAACCGGGTGAAGTTCGGGAAATGGAGGGCGGCGGGGGGGAAAGTTCTTGGGAAAAATAATTCTGGGAAGCCCGTGGTTTACACAACGACCAACTTTTTGTTTGTAACACGACCTCCGCTACATAGCAGATACTTCTGTTACCTTTTTAATTGTTCACCTACGGTAACAATTGGCCAAAAAAAACCCACACGAGACGAGAGAAGAAAAAAAGGACCGGTATTTTGCTCCAGGCGCATACGGTACTAGAGAAAGAGCATTCCGAAGCCGCGAAACGTTGAACCAGAAAAGAAGGAACAATGGGGCGCACAAATCCCAACATTGTAATAACGGGTACACCGGGTGTAGGCAAGACGACGCACGCAGAGCAACTGGCGCAAGCAACGGGGCTGAAGCATTTATCTGTGAATCAAATTGTGAAAGATGAGGGGTTCCACGAGGGCAAAGATGAGGAGACGGGGAGTTGGATTGTAGATGAAGACAAGGTATGCTTATTTCCTCTCTGTCTCCTCTTACATCCTAACACATCCCTTTTTTTCCAACGCGAGATGTAATTTCTAACCCTCACTCGCAAAAAGCTCCTCGACTACCTCGAATCCCTCCCCTTACACTCAACCGGCGGCTACATCCTCGACTGGCACGCCTGCGACCTCTTCCCCGAACGCTGGATCGATCTCGTTGTCGTACTGCGGTGCGACTCGTCTATCTTATACGACCGCCTTACCGCACGCGGCTACACGGGCAAGAAGCTAGAGGAGAATATGGATAGTGAGATTATGCAGGTGTTGCTGGAGGAGGCGAGAGAGGCGTATCGAGAGGAGATTGTGGTGGAGCTGAGGAGTGAGAGTGCGAAGGATGTTGAGGGCAATTTGGAGAGGTGTGAGGGGTGGGTCGAGCAGTGGAGGAGGGATAATGTGAAGGAGGGAGAGGAGAAGGAGTAATGAGGAGAAGGGGTGAAATGAAATAACGGCAAGGGGGAGGGGGGGTGTGTATGATACCATTGTAACGATTATGAGTTTTTTTTTGTTTTCTCTTTTTCTTTTGGGGTATTGGAGGTTCTAGATGGTGCTTGCTCTCCTGCTAGGTGGAGTGTAGTATAATCTCAAGCTGACTCCGTCTTACTCGCCAACCACTCCTTCAATTTCTCCAGCGCCTTACCCCTGTGGCTAATCTTGTTCTTCTCGCTCTTATCCATCTCAGCATACGTCTTGCCTTCGTACTCGAAGCATGAGTCCCAACCTACATCCACTCTATTAGCAAAAATCACTTAAAAGAAGTTTAAAAAAAAAAGAGAGAGAGAGAGAGAGAAAGTACCAAAAACAGTAGATCCCCGACTCTCAACCAACTTTCCATCCGTCCTTCCCTGGAACAAAATCGCTTCGTGGCCTGGTCCCTCGCAATATCCAAAGGTGCAGACTGCCTGGGCGGATTTATCGTCGAAGCCTGCGAGGAGTTTGTGGAGGTTTAGGGGGCCGAGGGAGAGCATGAACCATTTGCTGTGATGGTTAGGGTAAGAGAAAGAGCAGGGGAGGGGAGGGGAAGAAGACGTACATGTAGGGGCCGGGAAGGTCGTTCATGGCGGGGAAGCAGAGGCAGGTGTCTTCGACTAGGACGGGGCCTTTTACCTGGGGGGGGGGGGGTGAGGGAGTTAGTACGTTCTGAAGAAGAAGAAGAAGAAACAAGGCTCATGCTTGGATGTTGCTGGGTTGAGACATATATGCTCCTCTCCCACTTTTCTGTGGGTCTTCAAGTTAGAGTATGTGTAATTATCGAAGAACTTACTGCTTCAGCGGCTCGTCGCGCCTTATCTCTCGTCACTTCTTCGACTGTGCCTTGGATCTCGACTAGATCGACATTCTGGTTTCGCAGCTCAATGACGCCGTCGAGGATGGCTTGGACTTCGGCGAGCTTGTTTTTGTTGCCGGTTATGAAGTTGAGATGTTTGGGAACTGATGCGGAGGCCATTTTTGGATTTTTTTTGGATATCTCAATTGTGGATTGGCGCTTATCTTGTGCGGTGATGAATTTATGATAGGGTTTTTTTTTCAGTCTTGCTGTGTGCTGAGTGTTAACAATCAAGCATTGAAATCGCAAATCATGTGTTTTGATATACCTTCTTCTCGGACTCTTATTCCGCTGATTGTTAATCAGCGTCTTGAAAATTTCGAAATGACTACGATGGCGGAATTAGCAGATGTGCAGGTGTAAAGGGCGCAGTTTTGGCGTCAAGCCCACGAAGCGGTAACATTAGCCTGTCTTCTGTAGTAAAGGGCGTAATCCACCAACACTGCCACTTTGGATTTTTTTTTAGCGTCACGGAGGTACGTACAATCTAAGAGATGTGTTCCTCACACGATGTTCTGATTACAGAGTCAGTCTTGCAGTCATGTTGATAAGACCGAGGGGTTCTATGATTAGCTTCTCACTTGTACTAGTAAGCGAGCTGAACAGGGATCCTGTGCCTCAAATGTAACCGTGGCCGACAAACCATTACCCTCAGCCGCATCAATCACACCCTGCTATGTACCTGCATAGACACCTGGTGTCCTCGAAATTACCCATTTCCAGCTTAGAAAGACGTGTATAATCGCCGAAGCGAAAAGAGCCTCATGGCTTGAGGCTGAGCTTTTCACCGTCATTCCGTCTTCCCAGCGACAATCACGACACCTACAACAGCTGATCCTTATCACGGCGCATAGCGGAGCTGGGCATTTTCCGTTTCCTGGATCTCTTGACCGAAAATTACACTGTACACTGCCGCTTCGTCACCGCCAGAATGGGTTCTCTCAAGACGTTGTTTCTGGCAGTGCATGCCTCCAATGGCATAATAAGAGCTTTATTTCTGCCAGCATGTTATGTCACGCTCTTCAGTCCGATCGCACTGGCTATTGCATGGTACTTTGGCTTTTTACAGACACTTGAAAATCTCATACCCGAAGACTTTTCCTGGTTCGATCTTCTACCTCAATTCGCCATCTCAGCAGTCCTTTTCCTTTTGCCTACCAGATTCTTTTCGGCCTCAAGTAACGAAGTTAAGACTAAAGATGGGAAGAGACGGGTACAATCGCTTCCATACTGGATCCCAGGGTTCAGAAACCTCTGGAGTATCGCGCTTAGTGGCGAGGAGTGGTTAGGGAGCGTGAGGTAAGCGCGAATATTTCTTATACTATGGTATATGTACTTAACCATTTGCAGAGAATCATCAACCGCAAATGTGATTGCGTACAAGGCCGCAGGAACTCAACATAACGTACTGCTTTCAGAAACTTTACTCGCTCAGATCTACAAGAATTGGCAGAACCTGGAAACCCCGGACAACAACCTAACCGCCATTCTTCGCAACGCATTCAAGCTACCTTCAGTAATGGAAAGCCACTATCTTGAGATATTACCGGAAATCAATCAAGTTGTCAAAACAGAACTGTATGGAGGACCGACTAAGGAGAACCTTATCAAAACGTCACTGAGTCTCTTATCCGAATCCCTTCCGGACCTCGTTACTTTCAATTCAAGCATTGTCGACCAGATGCAATGGGAACGTGTATCGAACATGGAACTCACAGACGGTACATCGGAGGTCGAGTGCAATCTGTTCATGCTTGTCAATGAGTTTTGTTGCAACGCCATCCTGCCGCCGATTGTGGGAACTCATTTCACTGAATCCTATCAACTACTTCCTACGGACTTGGCTGCTCTCAACGAACGCTTTTGGGCACTCGCTCTTGGTTTACCACGGTTATCGCCCATTCAAGGCCTACCAGGATCAGCCTTGGCCCAGAAGAGATTGATACAGAATTTTGCAAATCACTTTGGGGACCTTACCAACCCACCAGTAAAGCGGGTGCCGGCTGATGACGAGAGTGTGAGCGGCGAGGAAGATACAGATGCTGATACAGTAACACCTCTAATGAAACTCAATCAAGTATTCTCCAAGCATGGTCTTCCAATGGAACTTCGAGCTTCGATTGCTCTCCACATTGTCCACGATATAGTCTCAGAAGTTGTACCGCTTGTTTTCTGGACGCTACTACATGTATACTCATCGTCGAAAGCGCAAGAGCCGAAGACTTTGGAAAGCCTGCCCCTCGAGGGGATCAAGAAAGAGACTAAAATCTGGGCCCAGGCTTTCCAACCGCCATCAATTCATCCCGCATTCCCGGCACCACCAGAGATACGTTTTGGATCAGCCACTCAAGTTCTCACTACGACCTTTTCACCTTATCTTCGCTCGTGTATCAACGAGGCTCGCCGTATGTACAGCTGCTCTGTCAGCACGTACAAGATCAAACAGCCCATTACGCTGAAAGAAGAGGATGCTGTACGGACCGGCAAAGAGGAGGAATGGGAGCTAGAAGCGGGGACGTTTGTTGACATCGGCCTTTCTCAATCTATGATCAATTCATCGCCAGTATCGAATCCTGCTCCACAAACCTATAAGTCGGACCGCTTCCTCAATGCCCCGGTTTCATGTTCTATTGTTGCTCCGAACGACCTGTTAGAATCGTACAAGACTGCACTTATCATCCCGTTGGTTGCTGGTATCATGCAGCTATGGGAGATTGCTCCGGCGCCAAAGAAGAGCTTCTTTGACCAAATGCAGGAAGCAGGGAATGAAGCATCAATTGGCGCAGCCGCGCTTTCCGGCGAGGAAAAGGCGGCACGAGAGGAGGCCAACAGAGCGAGAGAGAATGCAAAGAGAAAGGACGCAAAATGGGCGCTTCCGACGGCCGTTGATGGAGCAAGCATCAAGGTTCCGAAGGCTGATGTCAGGGTAAGGATCCGTAAGAGGGAAGGTTTGCCTACAAGTAAGATTGTTGGACGCATTGGCTAGCGAACCATTCTGAGACTTGAGCGAAGCGGGCTATCGCCCGTTGCCGGACTAGGAGATACCTTGTATACAATTACGCGAGTAGTACGAGTTTCAAGTGTAACAGGTGTCACCGCGTGTCAAAAAACGCATGCATATCGGTGATTTTCTAGATGGCGAATGCTGACGGTCGGACCGTGATCCAGAGGTACGCCATACACACGTCTAGGCATACAAGCATTGGAGCGTGTCAAGTTTCGTGATCACCATCGTCGATGCCAATGCCTTTGAACTCGTAACCTCCAAAAAAACGTCCTCGACACGAATCAAGACGAGAAAATCAATAAACTATCTTTTGCTATCGAACTTTGTGCCAAGTCAGCGATCGTACTTGTAGCTGGGTGTGTATCTGCCACATCACAATAGTCTTGTAACCTAGGCACTCGTACCCGTTTCCCCAAGTGCCCGAGGTGCGTCCACACGAAGAGAGCCACGATGCCCAAACCTCGATCTCGATTCGCAACCCTATCTATCTCCCTGTAGAGTGTATCTGGCATCACGATTATTCCCACATTAAAAACAAGGGGGGTAGTACGAGCCATGTGGTTCCATCAATGTACATATACACATACGTACATTGTACATGAAATGCACATGTACATCTCGGCCGCTGACGTCGGCCGCACATCACCCAACCAAAGTAGCGGTGAAAACCAACAAGGGGAAAGCGGGTATAGGGCAGGGCAGGGGTGTGTGTGTGTGGAGGGGGTGGTGGATGCATACTTCTCTTACTTACAAGAAAAAACCCGCCCATTTGCCGATCGACACTAGAAGGGCAACCACGCATTCCACCCCATCAAAAACCATGACCTCCACATTACTCCATTACCGGACGTCGGGCTGTGCAAAAAGAAACGAGGAAAGAAAAACGCCCAAAACAAGCAACACCCCTGCAACTAAACAACCAAAGTAAGTACACACATCGAAACCATGTCCTAGCAACTATCTCTTCCCCCCTCTCTCTCTCGTTCTCTTTCTCCCTCTCCGCAAATCAGACACACACGCGCGCGCGTCTGCATATGATATGTCGCAGCATCCCCCCCCTTGTGCCCTCATTCCCGTTTCCCCGCGAAACCAAGGCATAACGCAACAGGACACAAAAAAACGGAACATAGCGACGCTTAGACGCGCCGGTGAGGAGGCCAAGGCGTCCCGTCCCCCCAAAAGCGCGCGTGCGCACACACCCCCAACCTATGGAGAACGGGCAACGATCGGAGTGTTTTCTTGTCGGTCTCTCGCGTTCCACAGAGTCTAGAAGCCGAGCGGGTCGCGTTGTTTTTCGGGGGCGGGGGGGAGGGAAACATGGGTTAGGTTTAAATCACCAGTTTTGTTAGCATTAGCTGAAAGGGAAATGTCGGAGGTGGCCGGGCGAGAGAGGCGCGTTGGTCAAGTGGCCCTTTTGAGGCTGTTGGGTACATACGTGTATACATGCTACTTTTGGTGAATTTTTTTTTGACGAGTTCAGGATGTTTTGGAGACGGATGAGACGGGGAGAGTAGGAGAGAAATAAAAGACGCAATCACGACATATGGGCTGATGACGGGTCCGGTAAGAATGAGGGGGTTTATTGGTGGTTTTTTTATCTATTACTATGAAGAATAATGGGGGGGGAGCAGTAAAGAGACTGGGGGGATACAGGTACCTTGGTGATATGCAATGCAAGCTTGGTTTGTGAAAAAAGATCTAGATTAAGACTTTGTGTAAGTAATCCGGAGCCTCGGGCGTCGGTGTGTGTGTGTGTGGATACATGTCACGTGGTGAATTGAAAGGCGGTCAGGGGGGATGGATGGCCTCAGTTGGGATATTTTCCCGAGGATAGTCGGTCTCCTTACACATGACTTGTTGAGTACGCGAGCTGGACGGCCCAGGAAACCTCGAGCCGTGTAGAATACAAACTTTATAAAAGCCTCAAAATGGTATTTCCCCATCGAGAAGCACTACAGCTTCGGTATCAAGCCTTCCTAGCTCAGTGGTAGAGCGCGTCACTAGTAATGACGAGGTCGTCAGTTCAATTCTGGCGGAAGGCAACTTTTTTGCTGGTGGCATCGTGGCGCAAGTGTGGTAGCAATTGTGACAGTTGCGGGAATCAGTTGTCATGTCCCTGCATTGAAGGCGCCCGTTGCGTCTAGTTTTTGACTGACCGCTAGATAACATTTACACATGAATCGCAAAAACATATTCAGTTCAGTGCACTTTGTTTGTGTCGGAAGATGAATCTTTTTGTACCGCGCTTCATTGATTGTGCGACTATTTGCATATTCAGGGTGCACTGGCCAGTGCTGTCAACACAGACCACACACGACATTCGATTCAAGGCCTGGAAAAGCCATGCGTTCACAGCACAAAATGCGACAGGATGACTAGTGCACTAAAGGTGCATGAAATTGGAACTCGTCAATGTCATTTCCATGATACTTTTCCCGCACGACCTGATAACACCAGATGCGGATCGTACCCCATGCACGCCATCACTGCCGCGGACTCGCATGAAGGGTCATGTTTATCTTTTATTTGTAAACACAAACACCTTTGGAATGCCGATATCATGCCGCAGAAAGTTGAAAAGACCCAGAACCCCTTGGCTATCCATTGATACCCTTAAACCTGATCAAGGACAGTCTCCTTGAACTCACGCTCAACCTTCTGGCCAGAGTCGTCCTGGCTCGACTCGCCGTGGAGACCAAGGAGAGCACCAAGGTCGAACTTGGGTGCCTTGAGGAGCTTGACCTTTCGGACGTGGACCTGTGTCTTGTGTTAGCCTTTTTTTTCTTGTCATTGCACATGGCGATCCTAGCAAGCACGTACGTTCTGGAGGGGGTAGATGCCCTGGGTGGCCTTCTCAATCTCACGACCAATGACCTCGGGGATGAGCTTCTGGGTGAGCTGAGCGAGGGTGCATGCGCTGGCGTCGCGGGTCATGATCTCCATCATCTTCTTGCGGATAGCCCTGATCTGCGAAGTTTGAGCGTATGTGGTCTTCTTGACCTGGTTTGGTCGTCGCTTGGTGAAGGCAATGCAGAAGAGGCGGATGAGGTAGTCATCGGTGGTCTTGACGACGACGTTGGCCTCGATGAGGGATTGCCACTTGCGGACGAGGGAGCGGAGCTTGTCGGAGGTGAAGTCGAGACCGTGGAAGTTGGTCAGGCAGTTCTTGCCCTGAACCTCGTCGACGCGAAGCTTGACCTTGCGGAAGGCGTGGTCCTCATCCTTCTGGAGATCGGCGAGCGAGACCTCGAATATCCGGCCCTTCAGAGCATCGTTTGCGTTCTTGAGACCAGTGGTACGGTTGACGAGGGTCTTTCCAACACTGCGAAGAACGTAGAGTAAGCATTGATTCCCCGTGTGTGTGGCAGCGGGAAGTCTTACTCTCGGACCGCGAAAGTTCCTGGGGCCTTGATGTTGTACCAGTCCTTCTTAGCGAAGGTGTCGGTCTTCTTCTTGAGACCCTTCTTTCCCTTTGAAAGACGCTTGTTCTTGCCGACAGCCATGATTGCGAGTCTTGTTGTCGGGCGTCGAGATGTGGTGGGTTGTCGTCGTCGATGTCGAAGAGCGAGAATCCAACGCCAATGTGGTGTTGAAAATCTAAGCGAGCCCAGTAGCGCATCACGTGCGCCAAGACCACACAAGGCCACGGCGATCCGCACATGTACCACTTTGACTGCAATGCAAAATGCCTGGCTGGACAGCAATCTAGCAGATCAATATGTGGGAAATATAGGGCGATGTTTGGTAGGCAGAAGAAGCCAGCATCTTGTCTCTTTGTATTGGTTCTGAAGGGTTTGGGCGCTGCGCGACGTTTTGCTATCTATAGGCTGGACATGCACGGATTGACCTTATCATTGAGGCACAAGTAACATAGGTGTTAAACACCCGCGGCGTGCAGTCCATTGTTTGCTGATAAGGTGCGATGCGCGTGTGCAGCAGAGGAGCGAGTCCAGGCCTCAGCATGTGGCGATGGCGGGGGCGATGGAATCACCAGCACAACTTGAATCACGGAACAACATGTGAAAAGTATGGGTAGTGTGATAATGCATTGGTATTATCATGTTATTACATCTAGTATACTTCTAATATGGGAGTGGGCTTGGTACGGGCTGGAAAACGCCTCACGTGCCTGGCCCCTCAACCTAAGGGAGCTGTGCTCATGCGCCTCCTTTAGCATCGTACCGACTCGAACACGTGCACTGCGGTGATATGACCAAAAGCAACAGCGCAGTGGCTGTGCGTGTAGTCATCAGACACCTGGACAGGCCGCTTCCTTCCACCCCACGTAACGTGCCGCCACGCACCTCCACGTCGCACAGGGCTGACAGTCTGACTTGACCTGCCTGCGCACAAATCATCGTGGAGGTAGCGTAGTGGCTCCAGCGCCGACTCAGCAGGGGGCTGGGTCAGATCGCTCAATAGGCTGTACATTGCTGACGCTCTGTAGCCTCGGATGCAGGCAAGGTGCGCTGCTCCTGGGAAGAGAAGTGGGGGATGGCCTGGTGAATTGGGTAGTAATGGGATTTGGGAGGTCCTGGCGCATGTCGAAGGGAGTCTTCGCTACATGACATCCTGAACCCCAGCGGGCCGTACGCTCAAGCCTTGACGTCGGTCTGCTGTTCTTGCTGGGCATATGGGCTTTCAGTCTGGCAGAACTTCTCAAAGTCTGGGAAGCTGATGTAGCCATCTAGAAGTAATGTTAGTGTCGTGGTGGGGGATAGAGAGGCATTGGTGAGATGTGCTTACCCTGCTGTCTGTATTGCCTGACGTAGCGATCACTCTCGGTCCGTGACATGGCAGGCCTGTCGGAAGGGTAGGATGGTTCCGAGTTGAGCCTGGATCTTGGCGAGAGCATTGGACTTCCTGGAGGGGTTTCGCCGCGAGGAGTGGTGGGCGAAGAGGCGACCTTTGCGAGGAGAATGGAGGCCTTGATTGGGCTTCCCGAAGTAGCAGAGTCGCGGCGAGAGGTGGTGGGAACCAGAGTAGTAAGACAGGGAGAAGAGACGGTTGATGGCGTCAGAGGAGGTCGTCGGCTTCCCGATCGGGAGCGTTGGGGCGCCTCGGTGGGCAGCGAGTAGTAGTAGCGTGGGTGGGTAGACATGGCGAGGGGTAATGTGTGTGTGTTGTAGTAGAGGTTGAATTGGTGTGTGTATGTGTGTGTGTGTGTGTGTATGTTGATATAGATGTTGATTGAGTAGACTGGAGGTGAAGAATGACGGACAGCGTTGCGAGCAGGTCGGGTAGTATAATAATGTGGTCGGAACTGCCTAGACGCGCTTCACCCCATGGTACCGAATGTATAGTGACGCCTCTGGTCGGCCCAGGCACCCTAGTCGACGCCAGCTGCATCAGCAGCCCGGAGCTCCCCACTCGACGTCGCTGGCGGTTTGGAGCTAGCGCGTGCATGTCGAAGAAGTGGGCACCGCCAGAAAACGTGGACGGTCAGAATTAGCCTGGGTGCCAGGGGACGTGGACGGACGGACGTGGTGTCTTGTCGGCCTCTGACGTGCCCTGACTCGCCCGCCCACACAGCGCCCGTCCGTCTCACCTCCATTTGCGCTGCAGGTGTGAGCTGGCCACGGCGCACACCACCCGGCTGACTGACGGACTGACTGACTGACTGATTGATTGATTGACGGACTGACTGACGGCACTGTCACTGGCACTGGCATTGGCACTGACACTCCCTCTCCCACTGCCGCCCGCTCCCTCTTGATTGGCACCCTCTGCTGCTCCGTCACCGTCACCGTCACCGTCACCCTCCAAGTCCAAAAGCCTCTGCACTGCCGGAACTGCGGGTGCGCTGCCATAGCGGCGCCATAACAAGCAGCCCTTGGACCGTGGCATCGGCAGACCAGCCGTCGCCGTCACTGTCGCTGCGCAGTCATGACAAAACCAGGCCCATGGCCAACTGCACATCGGCCACTCTTCCTTGCCGGCCATCAGGAACCGCCCAAGGGCATTATACGCGCCCCCCTCATCGCCAGGCTCATCCCCATCGCCGCCGCCAGACCACCATGAGGCGTGTGCGACCTTGAGACAGGTACAGCACAGCGTCTGCATCAGCCTCGCTCATCTCCGCCCGGCACTCTTGCTGTCGCTGCTGCTTGTGCTTGCGCTGGTGACGACATGGCCCGCTGTGTCATGCATCCGCCCTGGCCGTCGACAGAGTCGAGAACGTCGCCTTGCCAAGCGCTTCCGGCTACTGCCCCTTTGCCAGGCATAGCACAACAGCATGCAGAATCACAATCATATCATCTGCCTCTATCATCTACACCGGTCGCCTCGAAATGACATACCCCTGGCTCCACTTCTGTCATCTATACTCATCTCTGCTGCGGCACGGCGATTGAGTGCAAGCCACGTACCGCCTCGCCTGCCCAGCACCACACAAGCCCCCAATCGTCTGGCCTCTGTCGTGTCTTTACCCGGGCGAATACTGCGAAACTTCCCTCTGCGAGACCGTGCCTCAAGTTCTGGAACAATTTGCTCCGCGCTGCGTCTCCACATCCACGTCAGCTGCTTTCACATGTTGCCCTCTCTTGCCATGTCTGTTGCCATGTCTATTTCCAAGCGGGCAACGCCCTGATTTGCCCATTAACATTCAATTACATGCATTTCCTCAGCTGAGCGCCTAGCATACCACATGTAGCAAAACAATTCAACAAAAAAAAAGAACACGACAAAGATGCACACTAAGCAACATTTCGGAGCACTCTCACCCCATTGCTTGTACTTGCATCCTCTCAACTTCGCTCCTCGCTTGCACCTAGTGTACTTACGCACACATAGAGTTTGCAAAGACAAAATCAATCAATCCACTTCCCACGATGGATCTGAACACACAAGACCCCCCGGCCCGCTTACATGCGAACTCACCAGTGCATTTATTAGCATCATGTCGTGCTGCCCAGTCCGTTCAATCTGCAACCAGGTTAGTCACACCGACGTGCATCATTGTCCCGAGAAGCGGGTACGCCTCCACGCCGTCATACCCGCGGCCGTTTTGCACCAACTTATCCGTTTTGGCACCCTCATCACCAAGTGCGAATCCCATCAACTTGTCTCGGCCCGGAATGATCAACCTCGCGTCCTAAAAAAGTGCTTGCTCCCCGGATTTTCACTGCCCATGGCCATACTCTGCAAAAAGAGGAAGGTTGTCGTTTGAAGTGTTTTGTTGAGCATGTTGGCGTCAAGTTGCCCCGCACCAAAGCAACGTCCTCACCACACCCTCAGCTTACAACGCCTCTGACCAGCTATAATTCTCCGCAAGTCCAGACACGCTCCTACGGCAGATCTCGCCGCCGATCCTATCCGGATGCTGGCATATACACCGGTCGCAATCATGACCTTGGTAGTGTTTGTTGAAGCAAGCGAATAGACAAGCGCCTATCACTGCAGCAACCTCCCACCAACGCTGCCGAAAAGCCTATCAAGATAGCCGCCACAATCCGTCTGACGGATGGAGAATGCACACTACGGCACATTGCCCATTCTCCGATTACCTATTGCAACCCACCCCCCAATCGGGCCCTCATCCTTACAAGCACATGAGGGTGAGCGGCAAGTTTATTCCCAGCACCTGCTACAGTTCCGATATTTTTCAGTTTGAACCAAGTCTGCATCAACCAAGGTAAACCAAGTGGGGGTACCAACAAAACAGTTTTTTTTTGCAAATCACAAAGCAAAGAAAAGCGTTGAAAAAAAACCAACCACAAGCAACGGAAGTCATCGTAAAAGAGCGGTAAATAACAAAGGCCAACCACAGATGCACACACACATCCACACTACATAAGCAAGACACCCAGCGATAACAAGGGGCGGTGACGAAGCAACAAGCCCGACCAGCGGGCCGCTCCCGGTGTCGGTTTCGCATCTTCCGTTTTGACAGCGCTGCAAAAAAAAATCGCAGGCTGTGGGCGTGTGATCTCTTCCCAAATCTTCTTTAACCCCACCTCTGAAACACTCAAACCTGAACCAACGCATAAGTAAGCCAGTCGGTCATGTACACACATTCCAACCAAAAACTAGCACAAACCACAACAACAAACTAAACAAACTTCCCTGATTTGCCGCTAAACATTATCGTCGTTGCTCGCTTCTGGCACACACACACACACACACATACGCCAACCCCGCTTCTTCTTCCCCTCCACATGAGAGAGAGAGTGTGTGCATGTGTGTGTGCTCGCCTACTACCTCTCTACTTACTAGTTCTACCTACAAAGCAATGCAACACTGAAAAGAAGCGCATCATGCGACCAAAAACGGCCTCTCGCATTCGCGCAGCACGTGCGCCAGGTGCGGGTAGGGCGCGCGAGGGCGAAAAAAGGGGACCAGGTATGCCTGGATGGTGGGGTGTGTTTGTTCGACCCCTCCTCGCGCGTCTAGCGCTTGCTTGCCCTTCTTCCCGGTCTTTTCCAATTGGGTGAAGTCTGCTCTGTTTTTTCTGCTTTACGAACCTGGTTTATGTGTGTGTGACTGGAACTTGGCTCAATGGATCCAAGTACGTACATACATACATCTGCTAGTCGTGGAGGTATTGGAGGTAAGTGGAGGCCTAATATAGAGAGGGGAGCGATACTACTCGCTGTTGCTACTGTTGCTACGGCTGCTCCTCCACTCTTTCCTTCCTTTTGCCCCCGCTTCAAACGGCGAGGTGCCGGGCTTGTTGTTTCCGTTGGTTTCCTGTTGGAGTACATATGTGAGAGGGGGCATTGTTGCCTTCGATCCTTTGCATGTGGTTTTGTTCTAGCCAACTTGTTCGCAAAGAGGCAAAGAGGCAAGGCAAAGCCAACTAGATTTGGAGTCGGAAGGATCTCACAGACACATGTATGCATGCACTTTGGCAAGCGCGCATATGACAAATTATCACGGTGAAACGTATTTTGATATCTTTATTTTTGTCTTACATTTTTTGACACTACGTTTCAGGTTTCACTGACAACGAGGCTCATGCCCGCATGTACTTACATATCGCGTGCAATGCGGGTCCCCCCTCAGATGACCCTGCATTTGCGGTATAAGCACACCGCGCTGGCCATTGTGGCCCATGACCTGGTCACTCAATGCTAACACGAGTTAGTGTGATGATGATCTGGAAGCAAGGGGAAAAAGATAATGAAAAGCATGGCAGGAAGTGTAACTCACATCGATGTCTTCCCATCCACGACCTTTGACGTTTGCCAACTCATCCATGGACATGACATGTCCGGTTGTAACTGCGGTGATCCACGTCAGCAAAAATGCTCTGTCATCCCCCCTTTTTTTGTACCCTCGCGCACATGACCGATAACAAACGATCACAATACCAACAATAGTAACAGCGACATCGAACGACAAAAGACAACAACAAAAGCACTTACAGTATCCAGCTTGGATCTTGGCGTCAATCTCCACTCGACTGTCAGCAGGAATCATCTCATCGGGAATAGGCACACGCTCGTGAATCGGGATGCCCTGCTCGACAATAGCATCGTGCTTCATGTTGGACATGCTAAGCATGCGGTCAATCTTGGTGATGCCCAGCCAGTGCAGGATATCGGGCATGAGGGCCTGGAAACGCATATCCTTGACACCGGCGATGTTCTCTGTACGCTTGAAGTACTCGCTCGCACGGTCTTCGCCGCGCTTCCTGGCATTGTACACGAGGTACTTTGTCACTTCGCCAAGGGCACGACCTTCCTTGCGGAAGTAAATGACTACGCCGCTGCCGCCGCGCTGTGCTTCCTTGACCGCCTCCTCGATGCCAAAAGTAAGGTAAGGGCGGCACGTGCAGATGTCGGAGCCAAACACGTCACTGCCGTTGCACTCGTCGTGGATGCGTAGGGCGAGCTTCGAGTTTGCGTCGGACATCTTTGCGGGGTCACCGAAGATGTAGACGGTCAGACCGCCAATGGGAGGGAGGAAGAGCTTGATGTCGTGGCGCGTGATGAGCTCGGGGTATGAGCCTCCTGTCTCTTCGAATAGTGTCCGGCGGAGAGTTCCCTCATCTGTGGACTTGGGGTTAGCTTCAAAGCAAATTGAGTATTGTGAGGCTGGGGGCTTACCAATGTTGAAACGCTCAGCCACGCCAGGCAGATACCATACTGGCTCCACAGCGACCTTGGTGACTGCGATTTCGCCCGTCTCATTGACGCAGATCTTGCCATCTGGTACCAGTCGGCCTTTCTTTACACTGTCCTCGAGCTCGGGCACCTTCATGTGAGCTCTTGTAATGGCAATGGTGGGTCTGATCTCCACGTCATCCTTGTCCATGATATCTTTGTACAGCCACGGTGCGAGATGGCCGTATGGATCCATAGCCACAATCTTCTTCTTGTCGCTCCATTGCGGGAACGGACCAATTTTAGCGGCAGGCTCAGTGTTTGTAAAGTCTGGTTTGTGCGTGATGTCGAGGTTCTTGCTGGCTACAGCAAGGGCATTGTAGATGGAGTATGAGCCTCCGTGGGCGCCAATAGCTGTTGGACTATTTAGCAAACCTTAAACCCAGACAAGAGACATTGGATACATACCATTGCGCCTGCGAATGGTGTTCGGATGTCTAGATACAACAACAGGACCACGCACAGCAGGGTCTTTGGCACCCCATTCCATTGGCAAGGGATCAACGCCAGCCTGGCCAGGGTACGAGGTCAAGATGATCTTTGAGATCTTCGAAACACTTGTACGGCGGGGCTGGGTCTCTTCACTTGAAGGGGGCTGCTCATACTGCTGGCTCACAGCTTCTACGGTTTTGCCAGACTCGGCTTCAGTGGCCTTGTCGCTGGCCAATGTGCCATTGGCAGCCTCACTTGCAGCTTCATCCTTGATTTGCTTGATGCCCGCCAGTATGTTCACACGCCCATTGATCTTGTCGACCGAGGCAGCAAGTACAGAGTTCTCCGAGCGGAGAGCCTTGAGCCCTTCGAGGATCTCTTTGAGGACGGCATCGCTGGTCGAGCTTTCGGAAGACATGATGGGCAGTAAACCAGATCTCTCATGCAATTTCTGTAGAAACAGGTTTTTGTGAATTGAAAAGAACTTTTCCGCTGCAAAAATTGCTTGTTTGCGTGTGGGAATTGAGTCGTAGAGCTAAAGACCGGGGAGCTCCGAAAAGGTGGGATAAACCAGATGGAATGATCTGGTTTGTAAAGGCAGTGGGGAGCAAGGGCACGAATACAACTTGGCTTCTTCACGGGACCAAGGGGGGATTGGGGAAGAATCCAGAGAAGAGAAGAAAGAAAAGAAGGAAAGAGGAGAGAGCAACGTGGTCGAATATGAATAGTGCTGGAGGTGGCCGACGATGCCAGCAGCACTGAACAGCTGACTTCACACGTGCCTGCGGCGTCGGTGTACGCTGATAGGAGCGGGGCCGCTTATCGACTATCGACGCATGGGGCAGCTCCCCGGCCTGGCGACAGGGATCTTGGCGGTCGGAGCCACGCGAAACATTCACTTGCGCGATCGCGTCTCATTGCATGCGACAGAAGTCTTGCTGTTGACATCACTTCCTTGGACTCGACGCTGCCCACCGCCCACGCCCCCCTTCTCGACCAAAAAGTGTTTTTTCCTCTCTATCTATCGACGCAACGACAATACACCTGGTGATCCGGTCACCGCGACAAAATGGTTTGTTTTCTCGGCTGCATTTCCAACTCTCGTGCGCAAATGCTAACCACCACGGACAGGGCAAGCGTAAATCATCAAGCAAGCCTCAGGGTCCCAAGAGGGTGCGTCATACCCTTTTCACCTCTTTCACTATCCTCTCTTTGTGCACTAGTCAAACTGACGAATCCCACAGAAGGAGAAGCTCCCCACAACCTTCCAGTGCCTCTTCTGCAACCACGAGAACTCCGTCAGCGTATCCATTGAGAAGAAGTCGGGCGTCGGCAACCTGCAGTGCAAAGTCTGCGGCCAGACCTTCCAAACCAATATCAACTACCTGAGCGCCCCCGTCGACGTCTACGCCGATTGGATCGATGCCTGCGATGCTGTTGCGAAGCAGGCGGCAAAGGGCAATGCAGAGGTCTCGCGGAGTTCGCATCGCATGGGACGGATGCCCACAGCACACAACCAAGAAGACGACGATGGCGATGGCGGCTTCATTGAGCACGACGATGCGGATGCCGAGGGCGAGTACGCCGACTAGACTGGCGTTCCCTTTGATGGACAACGAGTTGCGAGGCTGAGGGTCACTTTGGATGTTGGCAGCGCAAGAGGGCTTTGGGTCTTGTATAACATATAGGCATAACGGAGACGACGGGCTAATAGTTTTGGCTTGCAAGGCGTTTTGGGTGATTAAAAGGACCCGCACATTCGCGGCGGGCGTTACCATCTTCAATACAAGACTGATATGTTGCCCCTCCACTGGGAGTTGGGCACTTGCTAGTCCACTTCGAATGCAAACTTTGACGCGCAAAAAAACACTTCGTTGTCACCTTTCCACCTTTTCTTTTGTCATTCAAACAGTCATGCTAACATATGCTGAAGTAATTGAGAACCACGTTGCGCGCATTGGATGTTCATCATACAAACGAGACCAGACGATATATATTTTTTTACATCGTGTAGAAACGGTCGCCAAAGTCACCCAGACCAGGAATGATGTAGCTGTAGTCTGAATCAGCATGCGGCGTGGTCAGACATAGAGAGGGGGAAACATACTTCTTTTCGTCCAGACCCTCGTCAACAAAGGCCGTAACCACACGAACCTTGGGGAACTTCTCCGCCAAGCTTTGCGCACCTTCAGGGCTTGCAATAAGGTTGAGGAAGAGGATGTGGTCCTCTGGTACACCTCGGGACTTGAGCACGTCAATTGCCATGAGCGCCGAACCACCTGCCACCGATTAGCATTCCGTCACCATTCGTTCGGCACGTGCTACTCAACATACCGGTAGCAAGCATGGGATCCAGAAGCAGTACCCATCGGTCACTAATGTCTTCAGGCAATTTGTCATAGTACAGCTTGGGTTTGCTGGTCTCTTCATCTCTTTGGATCAAGATTTTACCAATGCGCACACTCCTGCAGCAATCCCTCAAACCCTGCTCCATGGACTCTCCCGCACGCATGATAGAGACACCGCATATTTTGCCTTGGAACTTAACGCCCGAATAAGTGCGGCCTACGGGAGTAGTGATCTCTTGCGATTCCACGGGAAGGTGGTTGAGACCTTCCTCGACCAGAAGACGAATGATTCGATTGCTGTAGAAGATGAAGTCTGCACGGCCTGTGTTGCGGTCGCGAATCATACTTTCTGCGTTTTAGCAAAAGAAGGGCACGAATTGGTCACAGTCTGCTGGGGTCTTACGTGAGCAGTGCTATCAGCTGAGGGCTTTGAGGCAGGATGTGGACATTGCTCTGTTTGATAGGAGTCGAGACGGTTGCAGTTGGCTTCAGAGCAGATGGACGGTACTCAGGACCGACGCATTGAGACGGGGCTGAGGACTGCGTCTCGGGTGCCATGTTGGTAGGCTGATGAGTGTCAAATGTGTGAGGCTACGATACAATCAGCCAGGACTTTGAATTGTGTTGTGAGAACTGTGCTTTTGCATTTTTGAAGCTAATCCATGAATACGAAGTGATCAGAAACCATCTCGTAACGCTTGGGACATACCTTGAGATACGTCTTCTAGCTAGAGTTTGCACTGTTGAAAAGCAAAGTGGAATTGGCGGGGTGAATATCGACTGACGGGATTCAACAGTCAGACAAACGGGTAGAGCAGATATGAATTGATAAATACAATGCAAAGATAAGAAGAGGAGAAGAGGAGAAAAGGCTCGAGTGGAGTAGTAGTCTAGGCTCGTGACCGTCGGCGAACTCCTTCACTGGGTTTGGAAGGCGCGACCCTTGCCCCGCTGTTGGCGAGATCTGATGGCGGGTCCCTGCCTGCAGGCGCGCAGCCACTCCGACCCCCGGCGTCGTCATTGGCCTGCAAACCCCATGCAGACATCGGTATAGCCTTCATTTCGCCGCGATCATCTCATCTTATAAAAAACCTTGGGATAGATAGACGCGTCGTGTGTTCAAACGTGAGCGTGACTGTGAGTGTGAACACTCGCACAGACACCGACGCCTTTCACCAAGTACACAATGCGCGTCTGAGGGCACTTTGTTTGCAGCGTCATCACAACACGCCTGCTTGCTCACGCCTGCACACGGCTATGGCGACGGCCATGTTTTCAGACTTTACCTCGTCCGATCGCCGCAAGAAGGTCGTCTACGGAAAATCCTCCCGTTTATCTGCTGTTCCGCCACCTGCACCCGACGCCAGCGACGATGCGCCTCCGTCTCCAGACCGACCCCGAAAACAGTCCGTAGCTTCTAATGGAGCATTGGAGGGTATTGGAGGGACAACAAAGAGTGCGGACAGCTTGGGGAACAGCCTGGGGAATCCACGGGCAAAAACAGACAATGTCGACATTTTCGACGTACCCGATGACGATGAGTTCGTGGCGCGACCGAAACCTATCAAGAAGTTGGCAGTGAAGTCGAGGGCACCTGAGAAAATTCAAACTGGGCCAGTCGTCCAAAGTGAAAATTCCCGAGAGTCAAAGAAGCTGGCAAAACCGATAGAGACTTTGCGTAAGCCTGAAGCTGCGAAGCCCGATGCAGCACCCAAGAAAACACAGAAGCCTGCTCAGTTACCGAAGCCTCCACGCGCGCCACCACCCTCCTCCACGAATCCAGCCGCCCCTCGGATACTGCGTGCAAAGACGCCTCAGCCCTCTGAACTACCCAAATCGACTGTGAAAAATGGTGGATTGGCACAACCGACAGTGGGGAAAGCAAAGGCGGTCTCGCAAGCAACTGCTTCTGTTCCGTCAGATGCAGTCAAAGCTCAGAGTAATGGGAAATTAAGTACAGCACTCCCTACAAAGAAGCTGGCAGTGAAGCCTACAGCGAAACCAAAGCAGGATTTGAGCGTGTTTGATGTGCCGTCATCAGGAGATGAAGCACCAGCAACAGTCAAGAAGGCGCCGCGTCAAATTCAAGCAGCAAAGAAGAAGGAGCCCGCGAAGATACCCCCACCAGCATTTGAGGTCAATCAAAAACAGGATTCAGAGTCGGACGATTCGAGCGAGTCACGGAAGCGGAAGCGTGGAGGTTCTGTCTCCTCTACTGCCACTGTGGCCAAGTCAACGTCGCGCAAGAAGGCTGAAAGCTTTGTTCCTCCACGAAGTCGCAAGTCTCAGAAGAAAGAAGGCCATGATTCTCCGGGCTACACACCACAGGCTCAGACAAACGCAAGCACGGCTCGCAAGAATCAATCTGCAATGGTACAATCTACAGCATCAATGGCCAATAAAGCAAGGAGGACCAACCAACGTACTGTACCAGTACTGGGACCACCGAAAACAATCAAGGGCCAATCTTCGCCAGCTATGCTGAGCAGTATGCTTCCCAATCGCCAACCAGCCAAGCCATCTCCCATAGCCGAAGCTCCTTCAGCTTCTGAACTAGACGATCAGACCATGTATGATATTCCAGATCCACTTACGACACCTGTTCGCGCGCCAAAGAACTCTGTGGCTGGCTCGACAACCCCACGACAAAGGACTCTCTTTGGCGGCTTGTTAGGCGATTGTTCACCGTCGGGCACACCGATGCCTAGCATATCCAGTTTGCAGTTGACAGACAAGAAACCAAAATCGCTCATTGGGAGCCTGTCAAGATCGAAATCCGACATTACACACAGTGCTGAAGCGCGCAAGACCAGGCTCATCGACACACTCAAGCCAGTCGAGAGCAGCTCAGATGAAGAAGAGGACGAGAGTAGCAGCGAAGGCACAAGTGAATTGGAAGAAGGCCAGGACGAAGCTCCAGTTACACAGCGGCCTGCACGAGCATCCGTGAATGCACGTCCAGCAGCCAATTCCGCTTCTGACGACATGGATGTTGATGTGCAAGCAAATGGCGAATCGCAAACGTCACAGGGGACTTCTGGGTATGGTATGCGACCCAAGCTCACGTACGCCATGTCACGATCATATCTACGGGAAGCCAACCCAGAAGATGACTTGCTAATCAACATGGACCTGGATGATGATTTTGGCGCCCACTCGCAATCTAGAGATAGTGTGTCTGTGTCAGAGGACGAGCCTGACGCGGCGAGTCAAGCACAAGCTCATCATGAGCTGAAAAGCCGAGGGCGCAACTACGTGTTCCAGCAGGAGGCCCAGTCGATGATTGACGATATTTCGAGTAGCACGTCGAGCAGCATACGGCGAAGCGCCATGATGGAATTGTGTACCAAGATGGCCAACGAGACGTTTTGTAGTCAGCTTCTTGACTCGCCGTTGGCCCACCAGTTCTTCCGCAATATTTCAGTTGGAGGAGAGATTATCTTTGACTTTGCTGTCGCTGTCGTCATCGTCTTGATTCTGCGTACCAAGCCTAGCTACACTGTTCTAGACCAGGTGCACGACAGTGGCATTCTCGGCAACTTGACCAAGCTCCTTGGTAAGGACGCGGACATTCAGAAGATTGCAAGGGATCGCAAGACGAATCTGTCAAAGATAGCCAGAGATGCGGTGATGAGTCTCCGCGGCTTGGTCCAGCAGTGTTCTTTGTGGTCGCCTACAACGACGAATAAGGTGACGCCGCAGCTTGTGTCGATGAAGGCTGTTGAGTTGCTAGTTATTGGGCTGCGCAAAGCTGGCAATATTGATGTCCTGCTTGACCAGCAGACAGTCTCACAGCTAGTCGAAATTGCCACAACATCGGACCAACGTCTGAAGAACAAGGAGGGAGGGTCAGAAGACGAAGCAATCCTACTCATGGTTCTCTCAATGCTCGAGTCGGTCTCAGCCACAAGACAGAAACAAGCCACATGGCCTACTACCGTCCTTGAGCGCATCGCAGGCTTCATGCCCCGGTTCCTTCATACCGACGCAGCAGCTTCGACTATGCTAGCCGTCAAACTCTGCATGAATCTCACCAACAACAAGCCCAAAGCCTGCCAATCCTTCTCAGCAAAGACATTTGTGCAACCGCTCATACTCTCCATTATTGAGCGATTCCAATCGCTCAACTCAGGAGCAGCATCTGAGAAGCGGACAGAGACTTTGGAAAATCTGATTCTGAGTTTAGGCGCTACTATTAATCTCGCCGAGTTCAGCGATGAAATGCGGCTCAACACAGATAACGACGACGAACAGAGTATACAAGTGTTGGTTAAGATATTCCTCGAGGGCTTGGAGCGGGCATCACAGGTACGTGCATCATCATACACTTCTTATTCACTCCAACCGCAAAACTCACACACTCTCTTTCCAGGCCAAGTCCGTCGAAGAATCACATTCTGGAGTCGCAATTGGATATCTCGCTGTACTTCTTGGCAATCTTTGTCTCAACGACTCGATGCGATCTAAGATTCAGATGCTGCTACCGGACAAGCAGTTGAATGTGCTGATTGAAAGTATCAAAGAGTTTGTGCGTGTACATGAGCATGTTGATAAGCGGACGGAGGAATTTGAGGGACAAGAGGGACAAGAGGCGTTGCAGACGTATACGGCGCGTCTGATGCTTGTGGTGGAGAGATTGGCAAGAGCGGCTTGAGATTGGGGATTGGGTGACTAGTCTCCTTGGTCTAGTTCTTGGCATGTGGTGTGGTGTGTGTGTGCATGTAGCCAAAGGGTTAGTTGGCTTGTTTTTTCCAAGTTTTTTCAAGTTTTTTTGTTTGTTTCTCGGAAGGATGGGGCGTTGACATTGACGGCATGATACCCGAAATTCACGAACTTGATAGCTCTCTCTCTATTGTATGTAAGGTGACGGGCGCAAGGTTAGGTTTGGAGAACCCGGCTCTATGCAGGTGCCGGACATGGGGGTGGCATATAGTATGTTTAAAATCAAAAAATGTCTCAGTTCATTGAGCAAGTAAGTAAATGTGTGTGTGTGAGAGAGTATGTGAGCCGTCTGCCGACGGGTGTTGGGCGTCCGTGTTCCAGTTTGAGGGGGGGGGGGGGGGGGAGGGTAAATGGCAGTCAAGAGGCTAAATGGTAAGAGAGAGAAGCTTGGGAATGGGCACACTCGCAATGCATAAGGCTGCGTTAATTGTGGTCCCGAGGAAGCGGACGAAATGACGCAAACGGGCGGTATGTGGAGAGAGGGTTTGCCCGTCGGAGCAAATTGAGCAGGATTGCTTGCTTAGGAGATTTGGCTGCAGCCAGGGCCCCCGTCTGAGGTTGCAATCAAAAAAAAAGACGGAGCGGGCGGGCGGGCCATGAGCAGCAGATGTTTGCATGTGATTGTCTAGTTTTTTTTTGAGTCGCGCAAAGAGATGGTTGCGGCTAGTGAGTAGTGGATCGGGGCAGCGGGAGGGGGATAGCGGGCGTGTAGCTTCGAGGGCCTTTTTGTGAGTCGAATGGCGGATGGACGAGGGTGTTTGAAGTTGAGTGGAGTGGTGTAGAGGATGAAGGTGATTGGCAATACGTAAATGAATGCTTCGAGAAGGCCGGGATTC